CAGTTCCAAGCTTCTGTTTGTGCTTTGCCCTCATCTGCTCCATTGTCTACACAAGCCTACGGATTGCGGCCAGGCTGGACCCACACTTGACACGCCTGCAGCGGGAGGGACTGTCCACCCCATCGGACCCTCCCTCTTACTGAGCCTTGGGACACAGGAGGTCCTCTCACTCCCCACCCCTCTGCTGGGGGTGCCCACCTCTGCGCCCCCACTGCTGGGAGTGTGTCCCCCCCAGGCAGGAAGGGAGCACCTCCACCATGTGGCGCCGTCTCAGGAGCACACGGAGGCACAGCCTGGGCTGAACGCGGGCCCTTTGCGACGGCAGGTGGGGATGCCCGGGGCGGCGGCAAGTCACCAAGCACCCGTTCTCCCCAGTAGCCAGGAGGCTGGAGCCTAGGTCGGACACCTCCGCCATGTCATTTGCTCTCCTCATTGTCCCAACTCCAGGCACCACAACTGTGTTCCAGGCAGGAGAAGGGGGGCATGGCGTCTGCCACCCACATTTACTCTTTTTTCCAGAAAATCAAAACTTTACCCCCAAATGCCCCGGAAAGTCAGTCTCCTGCTGACTTCTCGGCCGCCGGAAGTGTCCTGTCATAGCTGTAAGACATGGAGAGAGCTTCTTTGCCGTTGGCGATGGAGAGAGGCGAACTGAAGACGCAGGGACCACCGATTCCCTCAAAACCCCGCTGAATATTTTAGAGCCGGGAAATCTGGGGTTCAGCTGGCAGCATGCCCTGGCCACACAAGCTCGTGGGCCTGCCACGGCACCTTGCTGGTACACAGGCTGGCCGACCCGCTGCTCAGCAAGGGGGACGGTCCCCACAGCTCGCCACCAGCTGCGTTGCGCAGCAGGAACGCCTTTCTCTCACAGCAGCGCTCCTGCTCTCTGCGCTGCCCATGTCCCGGCACATGTGACTCACGGGCCACAAAAGGGGCAGCACCTACCTGACTTTGCTCCTTGGGTCTGCTAAGCTCTGCCGTATGATGGCTCTGAACCCAACAGGGACCCGTGTCCTGCCTCGGGCAGCGTGGTGCAGGGATCTGCCTGCCCCTGCAGGCCGGGGTGGCCGATGCCTGGAGCAGAAAGGGCTGGCTGGCCTCGGCTCCTGGGGGAAGGACGAGGATGGCCGGGGCGCTCTGTGTGGCCAACACCCGCCTGGTCCAGAGGGACCCTGAACCGTGTGCTCGCTAGAGCCTCAGCGGCAGGCAGCAGGCTGCAGGTCCCCAGACCTGATGCAGGGGGTTATACCTGAGGTCTGTCCCTCACTCGGCCCCGCGCCTCTTCCTGGCGGTTAAGCAGGAGAGCAGGAAGTCGGGGGGAGACAGGGGTGGGCTCGGGGGCAGCTCCCACTTGGAACACACTAGGTGCACAGCAAGATAAAGGTGCGGTGGTTGTGGGGTGCAGTGTCCCGGGAGCGGACATGGCTGTCCCAGAAGGTGGGCAGGGCCCCTGGCCTCCAGGTGAGGGTCATGGCTCAGAGGCCTGAGGGGCTCACGGGCCTTCTCTATGGAATGACTGCTGCTTTGCCCCACACTGTGCCAGTGCACATAGGCCCTGTTGTCTCGGGTCCCCACTTCCAGAATGAACTGGAAGGCCCGTCTTTCTGAGAAATCTTGGTTTTTAGGTGTTGGCAACTGTAGTGAATGGTGGCTCCTCTTCCTCTCTCTCCCCGACCGGTGCAGGGGTGGCTCGGGGACATGGGGTACCCACCCCATGGATGGAGATGGGGGTTGGGGGACACTTGCTGGGCTCCGGGGGTGGAGCGTGGAAGCAGGGGTCTCGGGCAGGACACAGACAGGAACCAATCCCGCCCCGTCTCATGGGACCTGAGCCACAGCTGAGTGTCGGGACAGAGGTCTGGGTGCTGACCAGCCGTGCTGAGCTCACCTGCCTCAGGATTCCCATCATGTGTCCTGTCGTGTGTCCTGCAGGCCTTGCATCTTACCTGACCCTGATCAGATCAACTCTTTACCGACGTTCACATGCTCCCAGGTGAGACAGAGCCCTGCCTCGACCACCCCAGCGTGGACCCGCCTGCCCCTTCCGGCTTCCTTTACGTTCCGTACAGACGCTGGTGTCCTGGCCCCGGGGTCTGGAGACACCCAGGGTCCTTACAGCCCAGGAGGGGCGGTCTCTAGCTGAGTGCCGTCGGGAACTCCTGCCATAGGACCAGAACCCCACGGTCCCAGGAAAGGTACCCTAGAGCTGCAGGTCCTGCCAGCAGGGGCCTGGCACTACCCATTCTGAACTCTCACCTTCCCAGAAATGAGGGGCAGAATCACTTACCAAAGACACGCAGAGTCTGCACAGCTGGACTTGCTCCTGGCCCGGGGCCAACACCGCCCCAGCCTGTCCCCCTAGCCCGCCCGGAGACCCCCCCACTCCTCGTCCACACCGCTGGTGAAGCTGCACCAGACAGAGAAGGGGTGGCACCAGCCCATTCTCTGCGTTAAGATTTGCCAGGTATGAGGTCAGGGTGCTCTCATGAGCCCCCAATCCACCCCTGAAGCTCTCATGAGCCCCCAATCCACCCCTGAAAACCATGACTGTTGACCTAACAACAGTGGAAGTAACGGGGTGCCAGCTGAACGGAGAGGACACACCCCACAGCAGCTGACAGAACGCCCCAAGAGCACACAGGGAGCATCTCCCAGACCCTCTGGCTCCCAGGGCTGAGCTGAGTTCCCCTCTCGGGGTAAAATGGGAAACTGCCCCGTTTTCTCCTGGAGAACCTTGCGGGCCTGCTTCAGCCCCCACCCCTGCCCAGGCAAGGACTGCCATAGTTTAGGTCTCGGGCTACCAACACCCCGTGGGAATCCTCAAGCTGCCCAGCCCCCGGACATGGGCCCACCCTCCAGTTACTCTGTCTCCTTCTCTGGCCTCCTCCCTAGGGATGAATGACACTTCAGATGCTGCGTGTAGTTTGGAGATTGAGGCTAAGAGGTCTGGAAGCCTTCCTGGAATGTTCTAGAAAGCTGTGGAAGGCTGCATGCAGTGGGGAGCTTGGTCTGCAGGGGGGCTCTCCACTGCTATGTCCAGTGCATGGCCTCCCAGGCGCCCCCAAAGCTTCTCCATGAAGCCCCCTGCACCATCTCCAAATTTTAAGCTCCCAGGGCGCTTGGGACCACAGGAGGAGCTGGATAAAGGCACCCGCAGGGTTGAAAGGCAGTACCTGGGGGTCATCTGGGTGGGCAGGTACTGAGCCGGGCAGGGGTGTGCTCCCTCGGTGGGTCTCACATGCCAGTCGAAGACCCAGTCCAATCAATCAGTTGTGACAGGACCCAGGAGAGGATGCCATGGGGCTTTGGGCTGTCCCCTCGGGGTAGGGTGGGGCTGTCTGAGCCAGGGGCTGAGACCCTTCCCGGATCCCCACTCCCCTTCAGGGCATTCTTCCTGCTCCCAGCGCCAGCATTCCTGGCTTGCATCAAAGCAGTTTAAAAGGAACTCCCAAATAATGGCCCACTAGACTTATCCCCGCAAACAAACGGAGGCAGGTGGAAGGTCCACAACAGAAGACGGGTCAGATAAGCCTGGGTTTAGTTCAGTATCTATATGACCATTAAAATGATGTTTGATAAATGACGGTGAGGAATATTTAGTCACATGAAGAGTTCATACAGAGTAAAAAATAGACACGTATCTGCGTAAGAGAGCCGTCAGCACGATCGCACCTCACTGAATATATACAGGCTGGGAAACACACTTGGGGGATCCATGTTAAAGTGTTAACCTTGGCGGTTTCGATGTGGTGAAGTCTGTCTTTGTTCTCCGGTATTTTGCATCTTTTCTGCAATGAATATGCAATACCTTAAGAAGCAGAAAACATGATTTTTGAAGTTTTATTGGCACGTCTATCGTAACAGAAACACTGACTGTGTGGTGCTGTCCCACGGGACAAGTGCAGAGGTCCCCGCCCACCTGAACTGACCGCTGGGGGAACAGGAGGTGCTGGGTGTCTTTGCTGTGCCCTGACCAGCTACTTCCCTCTGCTGGGGGCCAACGGAAGCCTTTTGCTTGCCTCTCTAGGCTTCTGAAGCCAGGCTTTCGGGTCAATTTCTAAGTTTCTTGCCTGCACAAACTTCCACTCAGCAGACCTGGTGCGGGGGCCCCCGCGGGGCCTGGGACATGCCCAAGTCCGTGGAAAGGGAAGCACGGGCAGCACTGGAGTGCCATCTTGGTCACTCCCAAAGTGTGGGACACTCCCAAAGCAGGCTTGCCAGTCCCCATAAACGCTGAGCAGCACAAGGGCCCAGGGAGGCCAGGCTTGAAGCCCTGCACCGCCTAGCAGAGTTGTGGTACCCTGCACCCCTTCGTGCTGTGTGCACCCCCCACCCCTCCCCTATACCTCCTGCCTCTAACCCCGCTGTAAGCCTTCAGTGCCCACACACCCCTCTTACCTCCACCCTCCACCCCCTATGCTACCACCCAGGCAGGGACATGCCAGGTGACTTCGCTGATAGGCTGGTCACATCCGGGGTGATGGGTAGCAGGGGTGTCCCCAGACAGCAGGAGATGGGGAGGCAGGGGTGACCTCACCGTTCTGGCTGGTTGAGGCACATTCGGACACGGACGGGGTCTTCCCTGAACCCTGCAGACCTCAAGTGCTGCTCACAATGCTCCGTAAAGGTCCTAGAGGGACGCGCCTGCCACCAAACTGTCGGTCAGCGGACGAGCGCCAAGCTCGGGCCCCAGACTTCACTGGCCGCCTCCGAGTGACCCCACGTGTGGGGTCCCGGGTGAGGCAGGGAACCCACGGGCTGCCGGGCTTTCCCGGGTGACAGCACCCCTCCCACTGAGGGCAGAGGACCGCTTGAATCCAGCAGGCCCCCTCGAAGGCCGACGCCGGCTTCGACTCGCCCCGCCCACCGGCCCGGACCGCCCTCCGGCCCGGACCCCGCCCACCAGGCCCCGGACCCCGCCCACCAGGCCTCCAGACCCCGCCCCTCGGCCCCGGACCCCGCCCCTCGCGGCTCAGCCGCGGCCCCACTGAGCAGGCGCCAGCGCAGGTGCTTGTCGTTTGAAAGTATGGCGCCCGCGGGTCCGCGGCTGGTGCTGTGTGAGGAGAAGATCCGGGAGAAGAGCGGCCTGGCGCCTCACCACGATCTGGGTGCGCGGCGGTGACGGGCCGGCGGAGGGTGCGAGCTTCCCGCCGTGGCGTCCGCAGACGGGGTCGGGCCAGAGCGCGCCGTCCTGACCGCGCTCTTCCCGAACCGTCGAAGGCGGGGGGCGGGGAAGAAGGGGGTCCGCGGGGCACCGGGGGCCCGAGTGGGGCCGGGGAAGTCGGGGGGCTGGGGGCCCGGCGGGGGGGCGGGGGGCTGGGGGGCAGGAGGTCTCCGGAGGCCGGGGCCGGTGTGTAGCTGGGAACGCGGGGGGCGGGGCCCGGAGTGGGGCCGGGGTCGCGGTGGGGGCGGGGACAGGGGGTCCCCGCGGGGACAGGGGGTCCTCGCGGGGGCGGGGCGCCGGGGCGGGCCGAGAGAGTCAGTGGGTTTTCTTTTATTTAAAAAGTGTTTTCAAGATACACTGATTTGTTTGATTCGCTTTGATGGGGGAGACAGAAGGGGAGCGGAGACGAGCGGAGTCCTCCGAGCCCCCGGGGCGTGCCCACGCGGGACTCCACCCCGGACCCTGAGGTCGGGACCCGAAATGCGGAGCCTCCCGCAGGACCCGCACGCGCTCCACCCCCGAGAGGCGGTTTCGGTCGGCGCCTCCAGCGGTGCGGCCGCCCGCGGTCGCGGGGCTCGGGGGACCGGGACCCAGGTGTGTGCGCGGCGGACGCGGGCCGCGGGCGTGCGGTGTGCCCCGGTTTCCTGCCGGCTCGGCGCGCGCGGGAAGCGGTGAGACTGCCCTGGCGGACTCTCCCCGGAAGCCGCGTGGCCTGGAGAGGCCTGTCCCTGCGGCGCCCCGACGGCCCGTGTCGCTTGTCCGTCGGGAGACGCGCTCGTAGCGCTTCCTTCTAGGCTGGGCGGGTTGTGGCGGGGGTTGGGACGACCCTCGGGAGAAGGCGTCGAGCTGGCGGTTCGCGGGGTTCGCCGGTCCGAGTCGGAGGCCGGTCGCGCGGTCTGTGGAGGCCTGGAGACGCCTGTGACCGGCCCGGTGGCAGCGCTCGTGGCCCCGTGTCCGTAGGTGGAAATGCCGCGGGTTCTGCGACTTGTTTCCTTCTCCCGCACACCCCGCACGGATTTGACTCTTGCTCTGTAGATGCGCCTCTTTGCAGAGAGGCGGACGCGGGAGAGGTGGGGAGCGCCCGGCGCAGAGCCGGAGGGGCTCGACCCGCCAACCTGAGGTCGCGCCCCGGGCGAAGCTGGGGTCCGAGGCTGCGCCCGCCCACCCGCGCGGCGCTCCTGCTTTGTAGGGTCGGGCGCTGAGAGTTGGGACAGCGACGCAGGACCCTGCGGTGTCCTACACGAACACGGGGTGCCGTGACGTCAGCCGCACTCACGTTTTGTGGCCTTTCCATTAAGTTCAGTGTATGTTTAGCGCTTTCCTTGACACGTCCTCTCTGACCCGTGCCCTCTTTGGGAGTGCGTTTTCCCATTGTGTGTTTGGAGATTTTCTTTTTTCTTTTTCTTCTTGTTCCTGATTCTAGTGTGATTCCGTACGGTTTTAGTTCTTTTAAATTTGTCGGGGTGTGTTTTTGGTTCACCGTCGGTCTGTGTTGGTCAGTGCTCCAGGGCACTTGGGAGAATGTGTGCTCTGGGGCGCCTGGCCTTTCCTGCGGATTTCCACGGGATCCTGTTGGCTGATAACGACCTGGATTCCTCTGTCCGTGTTGATTTCCCGCTGGCAGTGGTACTGATTGACGGCAGGGGACGGTGGCAGCCCCTAACCCAAGCGACTTTGTCCGTTTCTCTTTCACTAGGGCTCGGGCTTCGGAGCTGTGTTGTCTGAAGCCGGGGGTACACATTTGGGGTTTGGAGAGAGCCCCGCAAGGCGTGTGGTGTTCCTCTTTCCCGCGGGTGATTTTCTTGGTTGCGGCGTCTGCTCGTGTGGCTGCTGTGACGTTCTTTTGATTCCTGTTTTCAGGGCACCTCTTTTCCCATCTGTGGCTCTTTAATCTCAACTTGACCCGTATCATTGTACTTGAAATGAGGTTCTTGTAGGCAGTGGGTAGTGGGCTCATTTTTACTTACTCTGCCAATCTGTTTTATACGGTGTATTTAAACCTTTTACATCAAGTGTAATTGTTAATACGGGAGAGCGGAAGCTCGCCATTGCATTATTTGTTTCCTACTGTCTTTCTCTTCTGTTTCCTGTTTCCCGCCTTCCTGTGCTTTGACTATTTTCTTAGTTTTCCGTTTTGAGTTATCTATTATATTTTTGAGCTTATCTCTTTGTATGGTGTTTGTAATGGTTGTTTTACAAATTACAGTGTGTTTGTATAATTTAACAGTCTGCTTGTGTGGACATTTTACCCTTTTAAGCAAAATGTAGAAACTTTATAAGCAATGTTTCCTTTTTTTTACCTGTTATAATTTAGTTGTCTTAAGTATTTTCTCTGTATACCTTGAAAACCACATTACTTGTTTTTCCTTTTCTTTTACAGTCATCCAACATTTTAAATAACTCTAGAGGAAACGTTTTTCCTACATGTTTACCTGTTTCATTATTCTTTCTTCATTTCTGATGCTTCCAGTTTTCTTCTTTTATCCTTCCTGTATGTTGGAAGAGTTTTCTGTAGCAGTTGCCTTAGGACGGCTGTGCTGGTGGAACAGTCTCTCTGTGTTTCTTCATTTGAAAACACCTTATTTCACCTCAGTCCCTAAGACTGTTTTTGGTGGATACAGAGTTCTGGGTTGTAAGTTCTTTCCTTTCAGCTCTTGGGAAATGTGGTGCCCCTTCCTTCAGGCCTCCTTGGTTCTGAAGCATAGTCCCCTGTCCTGTGAGTAGTTTTCTCGACCAGTAATGACTTTTCTGGTTGCTTTCGAGATTCTTCCACTGTTCTTAGTTTTTAGAAGTTTATTTCTGATGTATCTGGGCATTTTTTTTTTTTTGGTCTTTATTCTGTTTGGGGTTTTCTCAGATACTTGAATATGTACCTGTATGTCCTTTGCCAAATTTGACAAGTTTTATTTAATTGTTAAAATTTTTTCTTCTTTGTCATACTTTCTCTTCTTCTTGGAACTCTAATTGGAACTGCACTGGGACCTGTTGTGACAGGAAAGTTAGATCGTTTTCAATGGACCCTTGAGGCTCTGCTTTTTTTTTTTTTTTTTTAAGTCTGTTTTCTCTCTGCTGGTCAAATAAGACAATTTCGATCAATATGTTGCTGCATTTACTCTGGATTTTGGCTTCTGTCATCTCCCTCCTGTTACCAAGCTGCTTCTGCACAGTGTTTTTGATTCAGTTATTGTATTTCACGTTTCTGAAATTGCTGTTTGTTTCTTCTTTATGTCTTGTGGTTTTTAGCCAAGACTTCCTATTTATCATTTGTTTCAAGAGTGTTGATAATTGTTCATTGAACTATTGCTTTAAAATTCTTTTTTTTTAAGATCTTATTTATTTATTTGACACAAAGAGACAGAGATCACAAGTAGGCAGAGAGGCAGAGAGAGGGGGAAGCAGACTCCCCGCCGAGCAGAGAGCCCGATGTGGGGCTCGATCCCAGGACCCTGGGATCATGACCTGAGCCGAAGGCAGAGGCTTAACCCCCTGAGCCACCCAGGTGTTCCTGCTTTAAAATTCTTTTTTTTTTTTAAGTATTTATTTATTTATTTGTCAGAGAGAGAGAGAGAGCACAAGCAGGCAGAGTGGCAGGCAGAGGCAGAGAGAGAAACAGGCTCCCCCTGAGCAGAGAGCCCAATGCGGGACTTGATCCCAAAATCCTGGGATCATGACCTGAGCCAAAGGCAAGGCTTAACCCACTGAGCCCACCAGGCATCCCTTTAAAATTCTTGTTAAAAAGTTCTGACTCTTGTCATTTCTGTGTTGGTGTCTGTTGATTGCTTTTCCTCATTCAAATTGAGTTTTTTTTCAGTTTTTGGTCATTTTGTGTTGAGTCGTGGACATCTGGGTTATTAAGAAGCTGTTTCTTATGTAAACCTCATTGCACAGTGTTGGCACTGAGAGGGTGCTGCCTCACTGCTGAGGTGGCGGCCAGCTTCCTGTCACATACACAGTCCGTGCACGCCTGTGGGCCACCTGGGGCAGGCGTCGGGGTCCACTCATGCTTTCTCGGTGCCATCCACAGTGTGAGGCCGATGTATGGTGCATTTTTTTACTGGGTGTTGAGCTAGTGTGGGGTTCATGTCAGGATCCTTTGCTGCAAGGCACCCATCCCCGTCCTTCTCCCATGGCCCAAAGGCTTACCCTCCTGTGCTAGTCAGAGTCCATTGGTCATTCTGGGTTGCCAGCTTCGTTGGCCCTCAGACTGGGGTGTGTGGAAGACAAAGTGGACCAACACAGGGCCCTCACTGCTCGATGGTTTTCTTGAGGTCCCTAGACAGTGGGCATCCCGTTCCCCACCCTCCCGAGGGGTCCGGTGCTTGTTTCGTACCTTGTTTTCCAGGGAGTTAGGCATAGTACGTGAGTAGAAGTAGGGTGAAACGGGTCTATTCTGTCTTGTGTGGAACTGGAGGCCCACAAACCAATTTTAAATTTGACTGAGATGTGTTCTAAAACATAAATATTCCTGGGGAAGCATTGGTGTGCCTAGACCCAAACTGTCTTTCTGATTACAGAAACTTATCACTGTAGCAACATTTACTTACTGGCTGCTCATTGGGTGTGCCACGCAGAGGCACGTGGTACGCAGAGGAGGACTGTGCCCTCGTGTGTAAGTGGCACGGACTAGGCAGGCTAGCTAACCAGTGGGCTTCTGATTGTGACCCCTGAGTGGAGGCTACGCAGGCGCTGGGCTGAGCAGCCAGGAGTCAAAGTAAGAGCCCGGCTAGGAGGGCCTTGCTGGTGGGGGGTGGGGTCTGACAGGGGAAGCAGGGGCGTGGGGGGCAGGGCAAGGGCACGGAGACAATTTGGGCATAAACAAGCTGAAACCTTGAGTGCGATTCTTTAATATCACTGTCCAGTTAAAAGTAATTTTCTGTTCTTAGCTGAGCTCCAGTCATTGTCTATTCCTGGAACTTACCAAGAGAAGATTACTCACCTGGGAACTTCTCTGGTGAACCTAACGGGTCTGAAGTCTCTAGACCTCTCACGCAACTCCTTGGTGAGTCTAGAGGTAAGTTTTAAGTTTGTTTCTTCAAAGACGACTTACTGCTGTCAGGAGCAGTGCAAAGTAGGTTTATAGTAAAAAATACCATCTGTAGGGCGCCTGCGGGGCTCAGTGCGTGAAGCCTCTGCCTTCGGCTCAGGTCGTGGTCTCAGGGTCCTGGGATCGAGCCCCGCATCGGGCTCTGCTCAGCAGGGAGCCTGCTTCCCCCTCTCTCTGCCTGCCTCTCTGCCTGCTTGTGATCTCTGTCTGTCAAATAAATAAAATCTTAAAGAAAAGCACAACAATCTGTCTTATACCTGCGCTTACATGTAGGCTGTATACTTGGCCCTCATTACGGTTGGTGTTTTTCTCTTGCATCTCACGACGTCTTTAAACTACTTGGACAACCAGAAGTCCTGTCTCTGATGAAGACGATTGTATCTTTAGGGGAACTAAAATAAGGCCCAAAAGACTATTGTGTGTGTCAGTCAGTCTGTCCCTGTCTGCGCTGCGTTTTTCTTCATCCACATTCTACGCTCACATCTGTTTATCGTCTGCCTGCTGGTGGCCTCAAACCCTGGAGTGGCAGAGCCACGGGCGCAGGGCTTCCCGCAGCGCTCCTGACGGGGTGGGCGCTTGGTCTGCTGAGCAAGGAAGAAGCCGCCGGCTGATGGCAGCGCGGGACGTTGTGTGAACGCTGCCCGTGACTTCACGGAGAAGAGGCTCCTGCCGTCCTTGGTAGAGAGAGCCTCCCCGGCACGGGGCTGGGAACCTGCCCAGAGTGCCCCCCTCCGGGCGCCGGCTGTCCCGGTCTGTGCGGTGTGAGCGCTGACTGCAGGAGACGGTGACAAGCTGGTGGAAACGGGCCGTCCCCGGCGCTGTCAGGGCTCTGCGCACGTGACCTTCCACAGCCACTGGCCGCTCCCTGCGTGGGAGCCGCAGGCCGCCTCCCTGGAGCACGCCCGTCTCTGTGCTCTTCCTTCCAGCCGCCCGTGGCCGTGGCCGTGGCCGGTGCCGGTGCGCACCACGCCTGGCTCACTGCCGGCCGAGCGTGAGCTCACTGTGCCTTCGTCCCGTTGGCAGGGCGTCCAGTACCTGACCGCGCTGGAGAGCCTGAACCTCTACTACAACAGCATCTCCTCGCTAGCCGAGGTGCTGCGACTCCACTCCCTGCCGGAGCTCGCCGCCGTGGACTTCCGGCTGAACCCCGTGGTGAGAAACGAGGCCGACTACCGCCTCTTCGTCGTGCACATGCTTCCGAAGCTCAGGCAGCTGGGTAGGTGCCGCGGCCTCGCTCACGGCAGCGCTGAGCGGCGACCTGTGCTCTCTGCTCCCTGGTTGCGCCCCTGTGTCTCACCGGCTGGGTGTTGTGGGGGCACTGCCTGGGAGGAGGGCGGGGAGCTCTGGCCACAGACACCTGCCCGGGGTGGCCAGGAGCGCGGTTGGGGGGGACAGGCGGGCTGGCTGCTCTGTCACTTTCTGGCCCTCCACATTGTAGCTGACTGGCCTGGACATACTCTCTGGAATCCGGTGGCGTTTCCTGGCCGGGCTGCCCGGGCTTCATCTTAGGCTGTTGGATTCTTCCTGGTTTCACGTCCACTTGGAAGGGCAGATGCAGGAAGAGAAGTTCATGTGTCACACCGTCCCCAGATGGTAGGGACGGGAGAGTGAGGTTCTGTTGGCAGGTGTAGCTGCCCACTGGCTTAGTCACCTGTGTCCCTCAAAGAAACGGGTCTTTGTGTCAGGCCGCAGGACAAGCTTCCAGGGTGCCTGCCGGCCACGCCCGAGGGGAGGGTCATGCTTACAGAAGCCATCGTGGTGCCTCCCCAAGCCCTTCCTGGTTACCGGGAGTTATTTTTGTCATGAGCATTGTGGCTGTTGGCACTGCCAGTGCCCACCTTGTGTTGCCGCACCTGTGAGCGCGCGGAGTGTGAGCCCAAGGGCACGCTGAGCGCGGAGAAGGGGCTGGCTTAGAGCCTTGGCCCCTCAGTCCGCCGTGTGAACGGGGGTATTAAGTGCCGAGCAGGGGCGGAGTGGGCACGTCCCCGTGAAGGGCAGTGTTGCTCCGTGTCCTCAGTGATCACAGTGTGTCCTCAAGCCTGAGGGCCAGTTCATGCTTGGTGAGGCTGGGGGCGTTCTGGCGTCTCCGTCTTCTGGGAGCTGACCTAACGAAACCAAAGTCAAGCCGGATCACAGCAGCGCTTGTCAGGGAAGATGGTCCACTGTCCTTCCACGTGGTAGGTACTGAGCTGGGGCCGTACTGTGGCTACTGGCCTGGCAGCGCCCAGGTGGTATCGGTGGAGACCCCCGTGTTTTGCGTCTCTCAGCTGTAGCAGGTTCTCTCGCGAACGCTTTCTGCGCCAGCGCGCCGGCTCGCCTCCCGGTGCCCCGTCCCCCGTGCTGGTGGGCCGTCAGCTCTGGGAGCCTGCCGCTCTGTCGGGCCGCGCCTGCCTGGGGGTAGGGGTGGGCTGTGGGCATCAGTGACCAACACCCATCGGTACATGTTTAGTTTGGATTTTCAGGTGTTTGGGGGGAGTAAGCGCTGGTGCTCTCGCTTACTTGACTGTTTACCAGCAGTTGAAGTTGGCGCTTTCCCAAGCATTATGGTCCACATTATTGGAAAATTTGCCGTCTTCAGTCTGAAATCTTTACTTTTCTCTTCATTATAAAGGTTTTAGATTCAGCATCTTATAGTGTGCAGAAGGGACATAATGAAGAGGGGCAGAGGGAGGGGGAGAAGCAGGCTCCCCACTGGCAGGGAACCCCATGCGGGGCTCTATCCCAGGAACCCGGGATCATGACCCGAGCTGAGGGCAGACGACGACTGAACCACCCAGGTGCCCCCAGAGCATTGACTTTTGATGTTGGGGACCATCTTAACCCTCAGATATGCTGAGGAAGACCCAGGAGAACTGATTCGAGGCCTTCTGGGGCCCCGGGCACTCAGGCGGGGGCGGTTGATCCTGCGGATCTGACGGTGCAAATCCTAGGCCCAAACACAAGGCCGTGACGTCCTCCTCTCTTTAGCCAGTTCAGGGTTCTTATCCACAGAGACGTCTCCGACGTGCTCAGTGAGGTTCGAGAACGTCACGGGGCGCCCAGGACATGCATTAGGAGAAGACCGTGCTGAGAAGGAAGCGCGCGCGTGTGCCGCGTGTGTCTCTTCCCGCGCGACAGGCTGCCGGCGCGTGGTACCTGAGGCTGCGCCCTATGGGAGGCCGCCAGCCCTCCTGGAGTCCACACTCGGCCTCTCTGGGAAGCCTAGTGTAGCTACCACGGCCCAGAATTCCCTTCCTGGGGCTGCGCAGTGCTTAAGGGGGACTCCTGGGGCAGTGCCGGCCCTGGGGGCATGGAAGGTCCCTGAAAAGTGGTGGCAGTCCTGGTTGTGTGCGGTTGGCTGCAGGGTGGGCGACGGGGCGCCTTCATTTCCACAGGGAAGTGGATGTGCTTCGGGGGTGCCAGGAGGTACCCCTGTGGGGCTTGGTCACCGGGGCCTGTCACCTGCTTCGTGATTTGCTCCTTTCTCTGGCGTTTTCTCCCTAGATGACCGTCCTGTGAGAGAGAGCGAGCGGAAGGCATCCCGGCTGCATTTTGCGTCAGAGGAGCCACTCAGCTCGGAGCAGAGCTTCCCCGCTGGTTTCAGAGCCGGAGGGTAAGCGCAGAAGTGGCATCTAACGCGGGGGGCGCTGTTCAGACTCGCCTGTGGCTAGAACGTTTACCGGAAAGAGAGAGACTTGTGTGTGCCGCCGCCGCTTGGAGGCAGCCGTGCCGGAGAGGAGAGCGGCTCTGCCCCTGTTGTCCGTGTTCTCCGGAGTTACTTTTCAATACTAGAATGTTTACTGAAGTAACACGTGTAAAATCACACAGCGCGAGCGGCTGGCGATGACAAAGCACGGCCCGGGTTCCCTCCTCAGCCTCGGACGCAGCCCCCGCCCCTTCTGCAGCCTGTCTGCGGGCGCGTTGTTTGCGCCCCCGTCTGTCTCCTCTCAGGACCGGCCGGCGCGCCGCGGGTCGTGCGTGCGGGCGCTTTGCGCGGACGGGACTGCCACACGGGCCCTCGCTCGGGCGTCCGGCCGTGCGCCGTGGTCCTTCCGGCCCTGCTCGGCGGCGGCCGCGGTGCCGGCTCTGCCGCGTGCAGCCGGGCTGTGGGGGGCATCTCCGGCCTGCCTGTGCCCCGCCTCATGCTCCCCCGGCTCCGGTCAGCTGCGTCGTTTCGTTTAACTGCTCTGTGAAGGTTGACAGTACTTCAGTGTGTTCTGAAACCATAAAGCGTCTTCATGGTTTGCAGGTTGATTTTAGTTAGTTAGTTTCTAAGGTTTTATTTATTTGTCAGAGAGAGAGAGAGAGAATGAGCGCACAAGCAAAGGGGCAACAGGCGGAGGGAGAAGCAGGCTCCCCCTGAGCAGGGAGCCCGATGTGGGGCTCCAGCCCAGGACCCTGGGATCATGACCTGAGCCGAAGGCAGACGCTTGACTGAGCCCCTGGGCGTCCGTACAGGTGGATTTCAAAGGGCAGCGTCCGCCTTGCTTGTGCCAGGGTCATAGAGCGTACTCCGTGTCACTCTGTCTAAGGCCTTCAGCGGTGTCCTTGCGCCGTATGCCTTAGCTGGCCTTTCGGCCCCTCAGCGCACAGATTGACCTGCTCTTTCCCGAAGAGGGCTGGGGAGCGAATACTTTTGGCTCTGCGGACCGTACGGTCTCTTTCTCGGCTTTGGAACTCCGCCTCTGTGGCGTGAAGGCACCCGTCAGTAATGCTTCGGCAAAGGCTGCCGCGTTCCAGTACAGCTTCCTTTACGGGCATAGGCAGGGTGCTGGGTTTGCGCTGTGGCCTCGCCTAGCCCGTTTCTCTTCAGATGTCTCAGGATCGATTCCAAATCCTTGGGGTCTCTTGTTCGTCAGGTCCCCTTTGTCTCTCCCACCCCCCTTATTTCCCCATTTCAAACCAGACTAATCACTGTGTAGACAGCTGTTCTCAGTACTGTGTGCAATGGTCTGGATGTTTATGGCCCCCAAATTCCTATGTCGAACCCTAACCCGCTAGGTGATGGTGTCAGGAGGTGGGGCCTCCGGGAGGCGATGAAGTCCTAAAGGCAGAGCCTCATGGATGGGCGTGGCGGCCTGTAGAGAGACAACCCCCTGAATGCCCCAGCCCCCTCCTCCACGTGAGATTCTGAGTCAGGTGGTGTCGACTTCTGACTTTGCTTTTCTTCGGTATTTTCTTGGGTCTTCCGGGGCCTTCGCCACTCTGTGTACGTGTCAGTTTGTTGGTGTCCGTGAAAGACCTTGCTGGGACTCACTGCGACCGCAGTGACTCTTTCAGATCGAATTGGGAGGATCTGAAACCGTGACAGTCCTGTCTTCGTCCATGCGAGCACAGGGTGTCTGTGCGTGTGTTAGTTCTTGATCTCACTTAGCAGAGGTGTGTGCTTTTCCTCAAACAGACCTTGCACACGTGTTGTTCGGTTACACCTAACCTGTCGTCTTGGGAGGCCTCCGTACATGGCGCTCTCCTGATTCATTTTACACGCCATACCTTATTGGTGTGTAGGAAAAGCCTGGCTTTTGTATGTTCACCTTGCGTGTGTGTTTCCTAGAGCTGATGTCGCAAAGTGCCACAGGCTAGGTGGCTTCAAGTAACAGAAATCTGTTGTGTCACCGTTGTCAAGGTAGAAAGTCGGGAATCAAGATGTTGGGGCGTTGATTCTCCGTGGAGGCTGTGAGGGAGAGCCCGTTCCCTTACTCTTCTCGTGCTGTGCTGGAAATTTTTGGTGTTCTTGGCTGGCAGGTGTCTCTTACCAGTGCTATGTCTTCACGTGGCTGTCCTCCTTCTCCCTGTTTCTTCACAGAATCTCTCCTTTTACATGCTTGTTTCTGTATCCCAGTTTCTCCAAAAGGTGCCACTCAGGTTGGATTAGGAGCCGAGCCTAATCTCATATTAACTTGATTACCTATGTGAAGACCCCATTTCCAAATAAGGTCACGTTCTGAGGTACAGGGTGTTGGGACTTCTATCTTTTGAGAGGGACACAACACGAATCATAACTCCTTGTGTTTTGCAGCCTTATTATTTTTTTTAATTTATTTATTTGACAGACAGAAATCACAAGCAGGCAGAGAGGCAGGCAGAGAGAGAGGGGGAAGCAGGCTCCCTGCTGAGCAGAGAGCCCGATGCGGGGCTCGATCCCAGGACCCTGAGACCATGACCTGAGCCGAAGGCAGAGGCTTTAACCCACTGAGCCACCCAGGCGCCCCTTGCAGCCTTATTTTACAGGAGGTTTTTTTCCCCTTGTTTTTGGTTCATTCTTGAGGATTTTCTGCATAGACAATCATGTATCTGTGACAAAGACAACTTGATTTCTTCCTTCCCAATCTATATACCTTTTATTTCCTGTTCTTGTCTTACTGCATTAGCTGAGACTTCCAGTATGATGCTTAAAAGAAGGAATGAGAGGGGCCGCCCTTGCCTTGCCCTACTTACAGGGACGTGTCTGTTTCTCACCACCAAGTGGGATGTTAGCTACAGGTTTTCATAGATGTTCTTTATCTAGTTGAGGAGTTCCCCTCTGTTCTTAGTTTGCTGATCATTGTTATCACGAAGGGATGTTGGATTTTGTCAAATGCTTTTTCTGTCATGGTATGAGCATGAGTTTTCTTCTTTAGTCTTTTGATGTGATGATTGCATTGATTGATTTTCAAATGTGGAACCAGCCTTGCATATCTGGAATAAATCCCACTTGGTTGTGGTGTATAATTCTTTTTGTACGTCGTTGGATACCGTTTGCTGGTATTTTATTGAGGATTTTTGCATCTATGCTCATGGGAGCTATTGGTTTATAGTTTTCTTGCATGTTGAAATAAGGCTGTCCACACAGAACGAGTTAGGAGCTATCCTCTCTGCTTCTGTTTTCTAGAAGAGATTATAGAGAATTGGTATAAATTTTTTCTTTAAATATTTCATAGAATTTACCAGTGAGCCATCTGAACCTGGTATTTTAGAAGGTTATTAATTATTGACTCAATGTCTTTAACATATATAAATCTAATCAGATTATCCATTTCTCTTTGTGTGAATTTCGATAGAATGTTTCTAGGAACTGGTCTATTTGATTAGATTATCAAATTGTGGGCATAGTGTTGTTCATAGTTTTATTATCCTTTTCATGTTCATGGGAGCTGTCATCACAATTCCTCTTTCATTTCTGATGCTAGTAATTTGTGTCTTTTTGTTCTAATTAACCTGGCATGGAAGTTTTTCAATTTTATTTTTAATGAACTAGCTTTTGTTTTTTTTTTATTTTTCTCTGTTGATTTCCTGTTTTCAGTTTCACTGATTGCTGCGCTAATTTTATTTCTTTTCTTCTGCTTACTTTGGATTTAATTTGGTCTTCCTTTTCTAAATTCCTAAGATGGAAGCTTGGAGCTTGGATTATTGATTATAGATTTTACTATTTTCTTAATGTATGAATTCAATGCTATGAATTACATTCTAAATAGTGATTTCACTGTATCCCGCAAGTGTGTTTTCATTTTCATTTAATTCAAAATATTTGTAAATTTCTCGGTAGATTTCTTCATTGACTCATGCCGTGTGTTATCCAGGAATTTGCTCTTTAATCTCCCGAGTGTCTGGGATTTTCCAGTTCTCTTTCTGTTCCTGATTAGTAGGTTAATTCCACTGGGGTTGCAGAGCAGACACTCTGTGAATTTTCCTCTTTTCAGTTTGTTAGTGTGTGTCTGACGGCTCCCGGTGTGACTTGTAAGCTCGAGGAGAACGTGTAATGTGTGGTGTTGGGTGCTGTGGTCTGAAGATGTCAGGACCTCGGGCGGACTGATGTGCTGTTGAGTTCAGCTGTGTCCTTACGGGCGTGCTGCCAGCCGGGTCCATACAGGTCCCGGATGTTACAGTCTTCTTGGAGAACTGAGCCCCGTCTTTATGTAACGCCTCTTTTATTCCTGAAAACATTCCTTGTTTAAAGTCTGCTCCGTCTGAAATTACTGTAGATACTCTTGCTTTCTTTTGAATAGTGTCAGTGCGATATATTTGTTTTTAATACTTTCCTCTTTTTTTTTAAGATTTTATTTATTTGGGGGAGAGAGAGCGAGAGAACACGAATGAGAGAGCACAAGCAGAGAACCAGCGGAGGGAGAGGGAAAAGCAGACTTCCCACTAACCCGGGAACCCGATGTGGGGCTCGATGTCAGGACCCCAAGATCATGGCCTGAGCCGAGGGCAGCTGCTTAACCGAGTGAGCCACCCAGGCGCCCCAACCCTTTATTTTTTATCCATATATGTCTTTATATTTAAAATGGGTTTCTCGTGGGTGACTTGTAGGTGGATCTTGATTTTGATCCATGTTGAATCTCTTTGCGTTGGAACGTTTAGACCATTGATGTTTAAAGGGTTATTGATAGGGTTGGATTTATATCTACCACATTCATTTCTGTTTTCTTTGTTCCTATTCTTGTCTTCTGCTCTGTTTCTTCCTTTTGTGGTTCTGAATGAGTGTGTTATACCATCCCATTTTCTCTCCTTGGTTAGTATATCAGTGACACTTAGATTTTTACTTTTTTTAGTGCTTACCCTAGAGTAGGAAGTAGACTTTTACAACTAATCCAAGTCCACTTTCAAATACCATTGCACTGCTTCCCCGGTAGTGGCAATACCTCATACTCACAAAACATCCCTAATTCCACCCTCCTGTCCCTCGTATTGCAGGCGTCGTCATTCGTTTCATCGATGCATAAGCTATAATCGTATAGGTAATGTGTGGGTACCCGTAATCAAATATATTGTTGTGCTGTCATCTGTTAGATCAGTTAAGAATAAAATAAAATAAAAATTTTTATTTTATTCCTTCTCCGTGCTCTTCCTTTCTATGTAGATCTGTTTCTAGCCTGTATCATTCTTCTCTCTAAAGAACTTCTTTTAACGTTACTTACTGGCAACACATTCTACTATCTGTTTATCTGAGAACGTCTTCTTTTCTCCTTCGCATTTTTTTTAAGATTTTACTTACTTATTTGACAGAATAGGAGAGCAAGCGTAAGCGGGGGAGTGGAGAGGGAGAAGCACACTTCTTGGCGAGCAGGGAGCCTGATGTGGGGCTGGATCCCAGGACCCTGGGATCATGACCTGAGCCGAAGGCAGACGCTTCAGCAACTGAGCCCCCCAGGCGCCCTCTCGACTTCTGAAGGATAATCTTGCAGGATACCAAGTTCTAGGGTGGTAGTTTTTCTCTCAGCAGTTTCAGTACTTGGCTCTTGAGTTGCTTGCGTGATTTCTGAGGGGGAGTCTGATGTAATTCTTGTATTTGTTCCTCTACACATAAAGTGTTTTTTCCCTTTGGCTGATTTCAGCATTTTTTTTTTCATTTTCTTCAGTTTGGTTATGATCTTCTTTGATGCAGATTTTAGGTGTTTGTTCTGGCAGGGCTCTCTGAGCTTCCTGGGTCTGTGATTTGGTGTCTGACACTAAGGAAATTTTTAGACTTTAAATATTTTTCGTGTTTCTTTTTCTCTTTCTGACGTTCTCATTAAGCGTGTGTTATGCCTTGTGGTTGTCCACTGTCCTTCAACTCTTGCATGTTCTCTTGTGGGTTTTTCCAGTCTTCTTCTCTCCCTGTTTTTCGGTTTTGGACGATCGTATTGAGCTGTCCTGAGGCCCAGACATTCGCCCTCGGCTGTGTCCAGGCCACTGACGAGCCCATCGGACACTTTCTTCATTTCTCTTATGGTGCGTGTGATCCCTGGCATTCCTTTTTCAGTCTTTGTTAGAATTTCATCTCTCTGCTTCAGTTTCCCCTGTCGTCTTGTGTACTCTCTGCTTTTTCCATTAGACCTCTCGACATCATCACTTACCATTGTCTTAAACCCTCGTCTGCCAACGCTGGCGTTCCTGCCGTACCTGAGTTCTGACACTTGCTCTTCCTGTTCACAATTGTTCGGCCGCTTGGAGTCCCTTGAGACTCCAGATGCATTTTAGGGTGTGTTTCTCTGCTCCTGCCAAAGACGCCATCGGGATTGTGACATGTACTGCGCTGATTCTGTAGGTTGCTTTGGGAAGTACTGACACTTTAACAGTGTAAAGTCTTCCCGTCCATGAAGATGGGACATGTTTCTATTTATTTAGGTCTTCTTTAATTTCTTCCAGCAGTATTTTGTAGTTCACTTGTCCTTAACAGTCTCAAGACTGAACTGTCACAGAGTTCGGAACTCAGAGAGCCTCATCATGACCGGGCGCAGCCTCGTGATCCAGAGGTGACTGGGAGACCCGTGAGACAGGAGCGTGTCAGGTTTCTGTGGGCAGACCTAGAAAGAGAACCCAAGTCCCCTTCCCTTTGCGGTGGGCCGGAAAGCTCTCAAAGGTAGAAAATAGTAAATAGTATCGATTTCTTAAAGTCCGATCAGATATCATAACACCAGCACTCATAGTATGTGACTGAGTATTATCGTTTGAGAGATTTTGTAAGCTGCCTATGTTGGAAGTGGACTGCCCTTGGCGTATGTCCGTCTCCGTGCTGAGGGCCGCCATTGGTAGGGATGTCGTGTGGTAGAGCACCTCATGCTCAGTGTGGAGAGATTTTCACTTAATGTGAAGATAGAACTTCAGAACACCATACCCTTTAACTTTCTTGACACCTGGCACGTTGTGGATATGCTAGGAAGAGCACACACTAGCGGATGTCAGAACAGGAGCTTTCTGGACCTTTCGTTCTTGAGTGGACCCTCCTGGGGTTCCGTGCCCTGTTCAGATGGCATGGTGATGTCACATGACCTTCTTTTCATGAGCGCTTGTCCTGTGGATGTCTAGCACTGACTTCTTTAATAGAGCACTGGGAGCCATTTTCTGCCGCACACCAGCTCCTTCCTGGAGACCCCGTGGCCGTGCTGGGGCCCTTGTCTTCCTTCACAGGGTCTGTGTGCTCTGGTACGGGACTCTGGCTTGAGCCACAGCACTGAGTTTGCTTTTCCTTGCAGACCGTGCCACTCTAGGGCCCTGTGCGCTGACCCCTCGGCCAAGAAGTGCTTGGTCATGGACGCAGATGACGAGGCAGTCCTGAACCTCATTGCTGAGTGCGAGTGGGACTTGAGCAACCCTCCTGGGAGCACAAGTTCCAGCCAGAGGGAGCGAGAGGCCGACCTCCGTAGTTCTCAAGGTAGGCTGCTACTTCACTGCGAAGGTCCAGTGGGCCCAGCCTGTGCTGGGAGCTGGTCGTCTCTGGCCTCCTGATACACAGCTGTGCTTTCCAGAAAACGGACCTTTACCTGGCGAGTCCCCGTGACGTCTCTGTGAACTTGAAAATACTAGTGGTTTGGACTCTAGAATTGTGACAGATGATGTCACCGTAATTGAGTATATAGTTCTGCATGCGTGGCTGTCCAAACTGTCCTTCCTCAGTTAGACCACGATTTTACTTACAGGGAGACCCAGAAGTTCGGAGTAGATGGGTGAAGTGTCCTGTGGTTGGTGACACTGGTGTCCGTCCCCACCACGAGGGGTATTCACTTGGCTTAAGAGACGCGTGGTGCTCAGCCGGCCAGGTTCAGAGCTTTAGACCGGACACGGACGTCGGAATTCTTTGTGGCGTGCGGGCTTCTCCACAGGCCTTGCTCGGGGCCTCCGTTTTCCAGCAGGACTTGTGTATGTGCGCCAGCTCCATTCCTTCCGTTTTGAGTTTCTGAGAAATTTTCCTGAAGACAACAGGTTAAGGCATTCACTTGGGCTAGAATCCCAGGACGCGCCGGCTGGCACGAGGACATCTGCCCGGTGGGTGTCCTTGCCAGCTTGTCGCGGTCAGTCTTTTCAGGTGTGGCTCCTTTGGGCGCGTGGTCGGGCTTCCTCGTGGTTCTCACGCACACATCCCTGAAGACCGCTGGTGGGACGCTTCTCTCCCGTCTGTTCCCCTCCCGGGCTTCTCTTCTTAGTCTTGGGTCAGAAGAGTTCTTTCTCTGTGGTTCTCTCGCGCAAGGCCTTTCTCAGCTGTAAGTGCCGCAGCCTCCCCTTCTCCGGCTCACCTTGCGTGTGCCCGACGCGCTCGACGAGGAGAGGCTCTCGCCGTCCAGCTTGTGAGTTCTGTTCTCTCCGTGGTTTGTGCTTTCCGGTGCGCTGGGTTTACAGGAAATCTCCGTCTGCCCCACGCCTGTGAAGAGGCTGCCTTCTCAGTCGGTGACTGTGGCACATCTGTTGACTCAGCTGACGAGCCTCTCTCTGCGTTCAGCCGGCGTTGGGTCGCTTGTCGCGTCTGCGTGCTGGCGTGGTGCCGTCCTCCCCCGGCAGCCGCGCCGTCCGTGCTAAGGCCAGGCGGGGCGAGTCCACCTGCACTGTCCCCTTTTCCTTGTGTAGTTGTGTCCCAGATAGCTGTCACACGCTGTCAGAAGATAAAGATGGAATTTCTGGTGACATAAAACTTTTCAAATGTTTTTTAATAAAATAGAATCCAGACATCTGTTGAGCCCTCGGTCAGCACAGCCTCAGTGTGGGGACTCCATCGAGACGGGCCATGAGAAGAGGAAGGGCAGCTCTCGAGGCTGTGGTCCAGAAAAGAGGCTTCAGGACCAGTACTGGGGGGAGCCGCCCCCGCAGTGTGGACAGCACGTGCACTTCACCGCACGCCCGGGTGAGCAGCCACTGTCCCGTTCCTTCTCCTGCAGTCCTTTGTAATTCCCAAATGCTAGATTTTTCCTCACTTTTTTGTTGTGCGGGTTAAGGTACTTTCGGGTGGGTCGTCCGCGCGTGTGTGCACGTACGCACGCGTGCACCCTGGTGCACACGCACGCACGATCGCCTTTTTCCCTGCAGGCACTGGGCGCTGCAGCCAGAGGACTCCGTCTGCTGAGGGCTGCGTTCCGCCCCCCCTTACAGATTCCGCAGACATTGAGGACTCGACCCTCTCTCAGAAGTCAAGTTTGTCAGCACAAGAGGTGTGGAATCCATCGCCCGCTCCTGGAAGGTACAGAACGCGAAGAACGCCTGGCAGCAGATCCCAGGCTCCTGCAGACCAGGAGGGTCTGAGACGCCTGGAGAGACCCACCGTGTCGTCAAGCCCCGGGGAGACTCTGAGCAGGCAGAGTGGCTCGGAGGGCCGGAGCGAAAGGACCTGGTCTCGCTCAGACCTGCGGGAGCCTGAGGCCGAGGAGCCCTGCGGCAGGAGTGGCACCAGAGAGGTGAGTGCGAGAGCCGAGCGGGACTAGGTGGTGAGGGGGGCTGCTGAGCCTTCCGTGCTCCCTCTCCCACCCCCGCCCTCGCCGGCCCCCAGCGGGAGAAGCTTGTGTACGGTTTCCCCGCAGCATGGCGACGTCGTGGTCTGTCGGTGTGTGCCTCGGCTCCACGCCCCCTCCCGCCGCTCGGCGCTTTGAGGCGAGAGTGTAGGCACAGGCAAGGGGCGATTGTTCTGTGCTTGTCTCGGAGGCGGAGTCCGTCCTCTTGGCCAGGGAGCCATCGAGGGTCCTGGTGTGGCCGTGTCCTGCACGTGCATCCTGTGGTTTCCCAAAGGCCTCATCCTGGGTAAGGACGGAGAGTCCTCCCGGCCTCTCAGTGACCCAGAGCCATGGGCGATGACTCGGTTGCCGTTGTCCCTGGGTTTGTGGGAGATGGAGGCACGAAGTGGTGGGAATTGGGGCCGGCCGCGGGCAGCACAGGCAGAGCAGACTGTGGCAAGGCGGCCTGGCCCGTCGCCGCTTTGGCAGACGGGGTTGGTTAGGGGGCGATTTTGCTTCCTGTGGTTGGTCCTGAGTTGCGAACAGGGAGAAAAATCAGGACAGCTATCGCTTAACTGATGAGTTCTGGCCACTGGCCAGTTGTTACGGGGGTCATGGTTTGGCCCCCTGGCTGGTTGCTGTAGGTCGAGGGTCAGAAGGCTGCTCTCCTAGAGGGTCTGGTCATGTCCTGTACGGTCAGTCTCTCACTGTCTGGACTGAGGAAAAGAAGAAAAATGAGGCTCTCTATGAGATAGGAACATGCCTGGCCCCTTCCTGTGCCCCAGAGGTCTGGCCTCACTCCGCCCAGCGCAGAGCTTCGCCCAGAGAACTCGTACAGGTGCTGTGGGGGCCGGGACTTTGCATTGGCAGGAGGAGCCCACAAGGCCTTTGCGGCCTCGTGGAGACCATCCTCACAGCCGGCACTGCCCTTAGCTCCTCAGGTGGCAGACGGAAGCTTAAGTGAGCGCACTGAGGACCCTGGCTCCGTCACCCGCGCCTGAGGACAAGTGTCCAGACGCGGCTTCCGATGGAGGTGTTAGTTCCCAGCGCTCCCTGGGAAGCTCAGGCTTAGCTTGTTGGGGCGAGTGCCAGGCTTTCGTGTCTTCATGCTACCCCACCCCACCGTGGGACCTTGGGCAGAGCGGTGCTTGCTTGCTTGGCTGCTTCTGGGGGGCCTGGGGTGGGCGGTGGTGGCAGGGGCTGAGGAGCTGTCCCCACTGGAGCGGCTTTACCTGCCTCCTTGCTGGGCCTCTGCCTTCGGAAGTTCCTTAAGTGGAAAAGCCCTCTGGAGGTTAGCTCACTGCAGAGCCCTAAGTGGGGCTCTCCCCAGCCTTCTGCTTGGAGCTGCTTCCTGGGGACCTGGGACTAACCTGTGTCCCAGCTCTGGTGGTCGGCCCAGAGACAGATGTGAGCTTCTGTGCCCTCCCTTGCCAAATCCCCAGACTCTTAGGAAGTGGGCAGGAGAACAGAGGCCATCCCCCTTTCTTTGATAATTTTTCTATATTATCAAATTTAATAATTTATCTAAATTTCTAATTTATCTAAATAATTTCTAAAAGGAGGAGAAGAGAGAGATGATGTGCACGCTGACATAGCCCTGGTGGGATGGGCCCTGGATGGAGTTGTGATGGTCTCTCCGGGCAGCCCTTCTGCCCACATCGTCCTGGCCTGACCACCATCTGGGCCAGTGTGTGACATCATTACATTCAGGGCTTTCCGGGTGCCCGTGACCGTTGAGGCCAAGACTGGCTCTGATGGGTCTCCAGCCTCCAGGGGTCCCTGTGGAGTGGTTCGAGAGGGCCCAGAACAGGCCATTGTGAGAGCTGTCACAGCCTTAGAGCTTAAACCGTGATGTGGATTTCATGACCATCATCTCGGTATGACTCCTTCTCATGCACCCTTTAGTTCCTCCTGGAACAAGGATGTCACCGGAGACGCACATCCTCGTGCCACCTCTGCAGCCTGTGGCCTCTGGATGGCCCTGTGCTCCACCTGTCTGTGGGATGCGGGTATCAGCATGAGGCATGGAGGGTACCAGGCAGGCCTGTGTCGGGGCTTTGCATCAGGCAGTAGCTCCTGGTCTCAGCGTCACGGCTCTCTCTCCCTTGTAGGTGGTTCCCAAACAGTACTCTGCTGTGCCACCCGGGAAGAAGGCTGCGCTGGAGGTGGCACTTCTGGAGGCGCTCCTTGACCTGGTGGACAGGTACTGGAGCGGCTGCAAGTCCCTGCATGGCAATGAGGTGTTCCGGGGTGAGTCGTGAGGGATGGTCCACTCAGACCCTCACTTGGGGCCCCTCCGGGCAGCATTCCGTTTGCACGTGCTGGTCTCCTGCTGAGTTCTGTGTGGGGCCCACACTTTGTTCGCTCCTCCCCACTGGCCGTCACTGTCCCCACTGCACTGCATGGATCATCTGGACAGCCTCCCACAAAAGCATCCGGTGGCTTCCGTGGGGTGTGGGACATGAGGGGTGTCGTGCAAGCCTCTGGCTGTTGGTTTTCCCACCTACTGGCACCCTGGGGTTTACGGAGATGCCTGGTCACCTGGTTTTGTTGGAGATGCTGTTCCCAGAGGATTGACCCTTGTTGTTCTGTTTTATGGGAAGGTTTAGAAAGATCGAAAAGCTACCGCTATTTCCTTCGCACCCTCTGAACGTGTGATCCTGTGCAGGGCCCTGGTTTGCTGAGTTTTCACTGGGAATGAGGCACAGGGGGTGGTCCCTTCCCAGGGAGGACTTGGCTTTGCTTCTGCCTGTGCCGGGTGCAGGAGCGCACTGCGCACCCTTCTTCCGGAGTGTGAGATGCTGCACCCCGGGGTGGCAGCTGTCTCTTTCTCCCGCAGCCCAGAGTTCAGCCTTCAGTGTCCCAGTGGGAGCAGGAGCTTGCCGACAGGTCCTTCCTGTCCGCAGACCGTGGGCCCTGCTCGGAGCTGAGCTGTCGTGGCCCTTTAGCTTCTCCTCCTGTAGTCAGGACTCCCCGAGGAGCCGGAGTCCGCGGCTCCTCATCCCGTAAACTGCACCCTTTCTCCCGGTCGTGCAGCTGCCAGACTGGGTTTGGGGTCCAGGCCAGGAGCAGGCGGTGCGGTGGAGGAGAGCATGGCAGGCCACTAGGTCATCCAGCCGAACTGTCCGGTCATGGCCTTCTCTTCAGGGACACCTTTGCTGTCAAATAAAACTGTTTTCCTGTCTCTCCACCTCCCATCCGTGATTGGACGAGTGGACATACAGAGGCCTGAGTGAGGTTCTGTTGGAGGTACGCGTGTGCCTTTGCCAGGCTCTTGCTGGTCAGTGTTTTCAAGGCATGTCGTTTCTGTCGCTCAGGGTGCACGAGGGGATCTCATTCATACTTCATCCTTTCCACATAAACGCCGTCCAACGTTTGGTTTCTACTCCTAGCTCAGGCAAGACATATTTTGTCCTCGGTGCAAACATTTACAACAACTCAGGAGAGTTCAGCAAGTGCGAGTGAAGAAATGAGCTTCCTTAAGCTGGAGAATAAGCCTCTGCAGCAGCGCCTTGGTGAGCCGCAACGGTACCGCGTGAAGATGGGCGAGCTGGTGTCGGACCTCAGCGAGGCGCGGAAGCAGGTGGTAAGGACGCGCCTTCGTGCTACTTCCGTCCGTGCGTGTGTAGGGTGGGGGTACCGTTTCGACTCCATGGGTAAGAGGAACACTTCCGGGGTGCCTGGGGGGCTCAGCGGGTTGAGCCTCTGCCTTCAGCTCAGGTCATGATCCTGGGGTCCTGGGATCGAGCCCCACCTCGGGCTCTCTGCTCAGTGGGGAGCCTGCTTCCCCCTCTCTCTGCCTGCTTATGGTCTCTGTCTGTCAAATAAATAAAATCTTTTTCAAAGGTCGGGGGGACGCTTCCCCTTAGCTGCCATCAGGCCATAGCAGCAGGGCTCCCCGCCCCCTGCCCCTGGGCACTGCCTCCTGCTGCCTCCCAAACCCTACACAACAGGGGTTTGAAGATCACAGCAGCCCTGCTTGTCCCAGCCCCACCTGTCCTGTGTGAGAGGCCGAGTGGGGTGAGCGCATAGATGAAGCTGGGCTTGAGGTAGAGATTTTGTGGCCCCGGTGCTCACTGGCCCAGGCTGCCTAGACCACTGGTGAGAAAGGTTCCAGTTAGCTGGGTGATCCTGGGGTCCCTGCCGCTGTCCTGCCTGCACCGGCCAGCACAGGCCCGTGATGTGCTGTTGGCCCAGAGGGACTTCCTCCACCAGGTGGTGCCCAAGGGCTGCCAGAGCCAGCACAGCCAAGAGCCTAGCTGGGCAGGCGTCCTTGTCCTTCCTAACCTCATGATAAGACCATTACGTCTAAATGCCTATGTTAAAAAAATGGAAAGATCTCGAACAACCTAATTTTATACCTCAAGGAACTGGAAAAAGAAAAGCCAACTAAACCCCAAAGTTAGCAGGAGGTAGGAAGGAAATTGTAAACATCAGAGCAGAAATAAATCAAATAGAGAATTAGAAAAATAATGGGGGAAAAAAACTAAGTTGAGTTTTTGAAAAAAATACACAAAATCCACAAACCCTTAGCTAGACTAAGAAAAAAAAAGACTTAAAATCACAAATGAAAGAGGAGACATCAGGGCGCCTGGGTGGCTCAGTGGGTTAAAGCTTCTGCCTTCGGCTCAGGTCATGGTCTCAGGGTCCTGGGATCGAGTCCCGCACCGGGTTCTCTGCTCAGCAGGGAGCCTGCTTCCTCCTCTCTCTCTGCCTGCCTCTCTGCCTACTTGTGATCTCTGTCTGTCAAATAAATGAATAAAAATCTTTAAAAAAAAAAAAAAAAAGAAAGAGGAGACATCACAGTGGATGCCTCAGAAATAGAAAGGGTCATAAGGGAGTGTTACAAGTGCTTGTAAGGGGGCACACTGGGCAACCTAGGAAAAAATGGGTAAATTCCTAGAGACATACATCCTGCCAAGACCACATCAAGAAAATAAAGGGTGCACCTGGGTGGCTCAGTTGGTTAGGTGTCAGACTCTTGATTCTGGCTCAGGTCATGATCTCAGGGTCATGAGGTCAAGCCCCATGTTGGGCTCCATTTGGGATTCTCTCTGTCCCTCTGCCTCTTCCCACTGCTCCTGTGTGTGTACCACCACCCACCCCCCAAAGAAGAAAGAAAGTCTGAACAGACCAATAACAAGAAAGGAAATTGAGCAATAATAAAACCTCCCAAAAAAGAAGAGCCCAGAACCAAATGGCTTCATGGCATAATGCTACTGCATATTTCAGGAAAAATTAATACTCTTTCATAAATGCTTCCAGAAAACAGAAGTAGAGGGAACACTTCCATACCCGTTTACGAAGCCAGCTTCACCCTGATAGCAAAAAAAAGAAATCTAGAGGCTAATATCTCCGATGAATATAATCTAATATGTTCCACAATAAAGTACTAGGAAATCAAATTCAAGAACACATCAAAAAAAGTATATACTATTACCAAGTGGGATTTCCTCCTGGAGTGCAAGGTTGGTTCAAAAATGCTCTTTAACGCACCACATAAACAGAGGGAAAGAGCAGAACTATACAGTCATCTCAACAGAAGGGGAAAAGCATTCAACAAAGCTCATCATTCCATCCATCATCAAACGTTTCAAGAAAATAGGTAGATAAGAAGGTTTCCTCAACACCCTAAAGGCCACTTAAGACAAGGCCACAGCTATCCTGTGATCGGTGGGGGAAAACCAAACCTTGCTTTCTGAGCTGAGAGCCACCACTGGACACACACAAGCACTCCTGTGGGGCCTGCTCAGCACAGCCCTGGCAGTGGTAGCAAGAGCACGAGGGAGAGCGGAGAGGAAGAAGGAAGATCATCTGTTAGCGGAGGACAGTATTGTGTGTATAAAAATATCTTTTTAATTTTGAAGATTTTATTTATTTGACAGAGATCACAAGTAGGCAGAGAGACAGGCGGGGAGGGGGGGAGGGAGCAGGGAGCCTGACGTGGGGCTCGATCCCAGGACCCTGAGATCATGACCTGAGCCAAAGGCAGAGCCTTAACTTGCTGAGCCACGCAGGCTCATATAAAAAATATGTATAAAAAAATCTTAAAGACTCACAACAACAACCACAAAAATGCCTTAGAACTAATAAACGTAGTGACGTTACGGGACACAATATAACAGAGATCATTGTCTCTTAATGCCAACAATTTATCTGAAAAGAAAACAACCCTATTGATAATAGCATCAAAAAGAATAAAGTACTTAGGAATATATTTAACCAAGGAGGTTAAAGATTCTAACGCTGAGGACTATAAGACGTGGATGAAAGAGGTCAAGGACACAAATGGAAGAATATCCCATGTTCATGGATTGAGAAATTCATAGTGTTCGAAGATCCACACTACTGTAGGTAATCTACAGATTCCGTGCAATCCCCGTAAAGATTCCAGTGGCATTTTTTGCAGAAATTAAAAAGAAAGGTAAAATTTAAATAACTACTTTTCTTAAAATTTGCATTCTCCTTTTTCTATTTTTGTGAAAGGTCTCCAGTGGCCAAAGCTGTCTCAAAAAAAACACCAAATACAGTTGGAGATCTCACACTCCCTTGTTTCAAATTCTGTTATGAGGGAAGCTCTGGTGACTGAAGCAGGACGGTGCTGGCGTGAGCACAGGCGGTGGGCGGCGGGACAGGGTGGAGACCCAGAAATCACCCCATAGACCACTGGGTACCAAGAATACACAGCAGGGAGAGGACAGCTTCTTCAATAAGTGGTGCTGGGGAGACTGGGCCCTTAACGCCATCCACGGACGTCAACTCAGAATGGATTAAAGATTTAAATGTAAGACTTGAAACTATAGAATTTCTAGGGAAAAAAAAAAAAAAACCACAAAGGCTCCTTGATAGGGTCTTGGCGATGATTTTTTGAATTTGACACCAAAAGTACAGGCAGCAAAAGCAACGATGCCTTAACAGGTGAGGCTCCGTTAGATGAGCTTGTGCACAGCAGAGGACGGTGTCCCCCACCTGAAACGGCGGCCTGCGGGCTGGGAGGTGTTGGGACGGGCTGCGCTGTGGCCGCAGGGGACTGACTAGGTCCAGGACCGTAGCTGCTAGAGCCGGAGCGGGTCTGCGAGTTTGCTGTGACAGTAGCTTCACGGTGCTGTCCTCACGGGAGAACTGCTGGCTCTGCACGCAAAGGGACGCTCACCCGCTGGACCGTGTGGACGCAGCCAGTGCCCGTGCGTCTCTGGCAGCTTTCGTTTCGCGGTCGGTCTGGCCTCGCACCAGAGGAAGCCCCGTTTGCCTGGCCGACCGTCCTGGCTGAGGTCTTGTGTGTGCCATCTGTTTGGTGGGCTCCTCCTTTAAAAGGTCGGTCCTGGCCGGTTGTGTCCTATGGGCTGGGACGTCGCCACCAGGTGGGTCTGAGCGTCCGCTGAGCCTCGGGGCGTGTGGGGTCGCTGCCCGGCCCGTGACCCTGGAGTGGGGCCCCTGGGCAGCCGCACGTACTACCCACCGCTCACGTGGTCAGGAGTCCCAGCGCAGCCAGGCTGTGCGTGCGGCTCGGGCTCTGGCCATCCCGGGCCAAGGGGGCGGCGGGCCCCTTTGGAGGCCCGATGGAGGCAGGCGACCCCCGAGGCTCACACGCAGGCAGCCGTGGCTCTGGGCGCGGGGCCTCTCTTCAGGCCGCCAGCTGGCGGTCAGAGCCCGAGAGCACCCACTCCCGAGAGGGACGGGTCATCGCTGGTGCGTGCTATGAGGGATAGGCTCTGGTGGGCCCACCCACGTGAGGGGAGGACACCAGGCGACGGCCGGAGCACCCTCGGGCCATCTCAGGAGCCACCCGCCCCAGCCTTTGTGTCGGCCCTGTTGGCGGAAGGCGGGAGTGAGAACAGCGCAGGGTTGCTGCGGTCCCTGCCTCCGGCGCATCTGAGGTTGTCTGTATTTTATGACAACTGCCATCTCTGAGATCCCCCACAAAGCTTTTCTTTTACAGAAAAAGATGAAAAATAAAAACAGTGAAGTGATCTGGGCGGCCTCGCCTGGTCTGTAGACACGTGGCATGCTTGCACGCACCCGAGTGGTGAGTGCACGTGGAAAGGACCGGAGCCCCGTGAGCTCCCCCTAATCGCTGTGCAGAACGTCATTTTCGTGGGCAGTGTTGACCCATGGGACACAGCATGGCCTGTTAACCATGAGAACAAAGGACCACGGCTTTGGGGTTTGGCACAGATGTGTGGGTTACCCCCCGTTTCCCTGAGTTTGGGACCAGCGGAATCCGGGCAGACAGGCCCCAGGTGTCTGCTCCGAGTGGTGCAGTGTGACATGGAGGACATGGCTCCTTGCCTCCGACGGCGGGCTAACTGACCCTGACCCCCCCAGCTGCCCCAGAGCCCTGTTCCGTGCCCGTCTAACAGCCGCCCCAGGGACGCCATCAGGAGCTGCTCCTCACGGTTCTGAAGAGCCTGTTGCCAATCTTGCTTTCCTCCCTGCTGTGAAGATGCGGGTTCTGTGGTCACGTCTCCTCAGGTCCTGATGTCCAGGGCACTGGCCTTAGCGGAGGCCTTGCTCCTGAGCCTTCCCAGCGCGGCTCCTGGCAGTGGTGCGGTGCATGCTGGAGTGTGACCGGTCCGTGCTCCTGCCCAGCCTCCGCGGAGACCTTCATCGGGCCCAGGCCCCAGCCCCTGCCCTCTAGAAACTCAGCACATTCTGGGGAGACCGGCCGTGAGACTCAGCTGGCCAGGCAGGAGTTCCTGTACGCCCAAGAGTGTGTGTGCACACAGAGGGGCCGGTGCACCGGGTGGGCTCTCAGCAGGGAGAGAGAGCATTGGTTTCCTGAAAACGGGGGCCCCTGTCACCCTGAGACTGAGATGCTCGCTCCCCTAGTGGGGATACGCCTGCTGGTTTCTGCTCTGGGCAGCAGGCGGCTTGGATGGCCTGTGTCCCACCAGCTCTCACAGTGGTCTCCGTGACCTGCCCTTCCCTTCAGTCTCCACGGCGTGCCGGGCATGGCCACCATCTCCAAGGGCGGGAAAGGCGGCCACGGCCGGCAGCTCCCACCTGTGCTGAGGGTGGCAGGTAGGATGGCACGTGCTTGCGTGCTGAGGACAAGAGCAGAACGGGGCTCCTGCAGGGCGGTGCCTGCCTTGGGGAGCACAAAGCCCTGGGATCTGCCTGTGCGTTTGCCCAAGAGGTGAGCCTAGAGGGACCGTGCAGGGCCGGTGTACCGCCTAGCTCCTGCTCCTGCTCCTTGAGCAGGGACAGGGACCCGGGCTGTTGTGGCCACAGGACCTTCTTAGGGGAGCCAGGGCTCCAGCAGCTCGTCTCCCTCACCAGAGATGCTGGGCACACAGTGTGTCCCCGTGGGACCTGTGTCCCCCCTGAGCGACACTGAGCTACTCAGCCGGGGGCCACTGTGAGTTCTGTTGTTTGCGTCGCGATTTATCGGTTATGACGCGTAAAGGCGAACTGATGTCTGGGGTCCAAAAGGTTTCCCGTGATTTTGTGTTTGCCTTTCACTGGGTCCAACTCCTCAGTTTCCGTGTGCTGTTCTGTGTCCTTAGGGTGACTTGAGACAACGTTTAGACAGATCTTTGGAGGAGAATAGCAGCTTAAAGGCTCTTTTGTTCAGCATGAGAAAAGAAGCAAAAAACACAGACACCGCAACTACGTTAAACGTGCAGATCACCGGTGAGTCTGTAGTTTCCTCGCTAAGTTATTCGGTGGAAGGGGAGTGTCCAGACCCTTGCTGATAGACCCCATTCGCAGCTGCAGGACTCAGAACTCGGGTCCAGCAGGTGCTGGAAGTGCGGCAAGACCCTCTGGCTCCTGAGAGCCGCTCCCGCAGGCCCTGAGCAGGGGCTCCCCCGAGACTCCGGGGTGGGCCATGGGGGCGGTGGTGCGGCGGACGTGGGGGCCCCCGCCTGCCGCTCAGGGTACCGATGGCCACACCTCTGCTGCCTGGCCCTCCGGAGCGGGGCAGTGGTTGTCTGCGGCCACTGCTCCCGCCAGGCCCACGCCGCTTCCCCTCCACTGTCTTCACTTCTGTTCCGACGTTTCTCCCAAGGAGCGCGCGGAGGTTCCGACTCCGGGCTTTCGAGCGAGGAGCTGCTGGTGCGCGGCTTCTGCGAGCCCGTCTGGCTGTGAACCGCACGGTCCCTCGGAGGCTTTCTCTTCCCTAAGGACCGGCCGCTGAGTGCTGTCTGGTTCTTCCCTCCCAGGGGTCCGAAAACTGCTCATGAAGGGCCTCAGGGCAGGTCTCGCCAGGCGTCCCGCTGGGCTCGGTCACAGGGGCACAGCCGCGGTCAGGACTGTCGCCCCGGCTGGTCGTCTTGGCGACACCGACTCCGCGCTCCTGTCACGCTCGCTCTCCAGGGCGGAGTTGGGCACCGAGTTCTTTGTCGCCTTTGCTCTAACTTCCAAGCAGACACTTGTCCCTTCTCGCGTGTCTGGAGACACATCGTCCTGCTCTCTGGCTCCCGGGCTCCGCCTCGCTCGGCCTTCGTTTCCGGGCAGCTCCGCTCCGCGGCAAGCCCGGGCCTCGCGGGCAGCTCCGCTCCTCTCTGGCGCTCGTGGTGCAGAGTTGCTCTTCAGCTGGTTCTGAAGCGGCCGTCCCTGGTGTCGGCGTCCGGGGGTGGCGTCTGCGCTGCGAGGACAGCCGCTCTGTGCGGGGTCTGCCCTCTGCGGTTGGCCCTGCTCCTGCGACTTGCCCTCTGCGCTTCCAGGAGCGGCTCAGGCGGGGCTGCGACCCGCGCCCAGGCCCTGTCCAGCCGCCCGCTTCTCTCTGGCGACCCGACCTGCCTGAGCGGGGCCCTCACCAGCCTTTCCTCTGCAGCGCAAGCCTCTCCTGGGGGCACTGGACGGGTCAGCCTCAAGGGGTCTGGGTGGCAGGGAGCCCCTGGTGTGACTTCTTGGAGGAAGCCGAGCCCCTCTCGTGTCGGCCACGGGTCCGTGGTTGCCCAGCAGGGGCTTCTTCTAAAAATGGGGGACACTTCGTGGCTGCCCCGTTGCTGACCGCCCCTTCCCTCCCACAGATGTGGCCGCCATGCCAGGCTGACAGCCCTCTCGTGCCTAGGTCTTGAGGCTGTCTCACCCCGGGGGCAGGAATGTGGCCTACGTGGCTCTGGTTCTGTCATCTAGTCGCTCTTGGTGTTGGACTGGGGGCGGGGGCCACTGGGGGATGCCGAAACCACGGCATGACTGCCATCTTCCCAGAATCCCACGGCCCTGTGCTAGGGGCACCGGCGGTAGAGAGGCCGAGGACGGTGGCCTCATCCTAGTGCTTTTAGGGCCCCCGGCCTCTGCCCTTGGAGCCTGCTGCCAGTGTCCTTGCTGTCCCTCCGCCCACACCTCCCGCTCCGGCTCTCCTGGACTCTCGTGTAGTTTCCTGCGTCTTTATTTGGATCCTGGTTTTGGGTTTCAGAGCCAATAAAGAATAGATTTCTTTCCCTGTCGAGCTGGAAACTCAGAGACAGGAGTCATGTGGATGGAATCCAGACACACTGTGTCACTGATGGTCGTGGGACCAGAGTACACATCAGAGACGTGGCCACTGCGGGCCTCTTGTTGCTTGTCCCCAAAGCTGCAGGCCCTCCCCTCAGGCAGAGCCCTCTGCCTGGTGGAAGAGAGGGGCTGGAGGCCCTTTCCTGCTGGGAGCGGGTCCCGGAGTGGGGGTCTCCAGCTGGCACCAGACCCACGTCTGTCCCTACTCTGTGCCCTCCATAGGATGCTTGGTTCCTCAGGGATCCGGAGGGCAGAGGCCCACGGTTGTCACAGGAACGGACCTTTTCCAAACGGCACCTTTTCTCGCACCCTTGATCCGGCTTCAACTCTTGAGCTGTCGTCGGTTTCAGAACCTGCGGCTGAAGCTCAGTGATGTTCCGGCGTCTTCCTTCCAGGACTCCAGACGAGCGTGAAGAGGCTGGCCGGTGAGATCGTGGAGCTGAAGCAGCATCTGGAGCACGACGACAAGGTCCAGGAGCTCACGCAGATGCTGCAGGAGAGCCACAGGTGCCCGCGTGGGGGGTGCGGGTGGGGGCAGGGCCAGCCCTGGGCGCGGTGGGGCTCTGAGGAGCCCGGCTGGTGTCACCGCGGGAGGGGTTCTGGGCCGCGTGGGTCTCTGCATTCCCTGGGAACTTCCTGAGCTTCCCCTTCTTAAGGAAAAGCGAGTCCCTTGTTGCTGCAGTATTCCGGGAGGTGTGACCTGAGGGTGTGACCGTAGGTGTGGCCAGGAGAGGTGAGGGGCACAGGAGGCTTGGGGAGATACCTGGATGTCCTGGTCTGCCCAGAGTGGCTCCTGTCGGTCCTGGAGTCTCCCTCTTTAGCCCCGGTCATGTGCTGCGTGGGGAGGAGAAAGGAGGAGAAAGGTGGTGTAGGCATGGTCAAGGCAGAAGCCCAGCTTTTATCCAGAGAGTCGTGGGCTGGGAAGCGGGTGGAGGCTGGGTGCAGGGGGAAGGTTGGCTCCGGGAGCAGGTGTGCCGCTGGGTGGGGTGAGGTGAGGACAGGTCTTCTGCCCTCAGCACAGGTGCGGAGCCTGAGCCCGACGCACCCCTGCTCTCCCGCCTCCATGCCTCCATGAGGCCACCATGCCTCCCCCAGGCTTGAGTGCAGGGTGGCCATTGGTGGAGCCAGGCCGTGACCTCTCAAGGAGTCAGCCCAGGTTACAGAGGGGAAGGGGCTTCCGAGAGTAGAGCCGCAGCAGAGAGAAGGGAAAGGTGGCCGTCACGGGTGCAGGGAGGGGGTAGTCAAGGCAGAATCGCTCCTAGAACCGGACGGCCCCCAGCTGCGCTGTGGTGGGCTCCCCGTGGACGGAGCCAGCAGGCCAGGGACTGTTTCCTGGTGCCTCACAGGACTTCTGTTCGTGGGGGTGAGCGTCTGTGGGAAGACGGTCCCTTGTCCCTGCTCACCGGGGCCGAGGGCAGTTTGCCGACGGCCGAGGGGTTACATACAGTGCCGCTTCCTTCCTAAGGTGCTTGTCGTGGTAGAAATGGCCGAAAGCACCACAAGCCCAAGACTGAGTTACACTGTGACACGTTGAATGAGTAGGGGCCCCTTTACGTTGGACCAGGAGCTACAGATACGCCAGACCAGGGTCTGTCTCTGGAGTTAGAACGTTGTTTGCGGACGTTACAGACTCGGGCAGTTTGCTCCCGGACAGGCGTGGCCGCAGTGGAGGGGTGGTCCCCCATCGTGGGTGGTCCCCCATCGTGGGCTCTGTTCCTCCGCGCGGCACGGGGGCCGGGGGGCGGGGGTGGGGGGTGAGACCCGGCGCTGCCCTCGCCGGAGGGCACAAGCCCATAGGAGGAGGCAGGGGGTTGTCCACAGCATGGACCGTGCCCGGCCAGGTGAGCGAGGACGCTGCCGGCCGGGGGGCAGCGGGCTGGACCTGGGGAGGGGCTCAAGTGTCATCCCCACCCCCATGCTTTCCTCCAGCTCCCTGGTCAGCACCAATGAGCACCTCCTGCAGGAGCTGAGCCGGGTGCGGGCGCAGCACGAGGTTGAGGTGGAGCAGCTGCACTGGAGCTACCAGGAGCTCAAGAAGACGCTGGCCTTGTTCCCACACAGCCGCGTGGGCCGCTAGCCCCGGCGCTGCGCGCGCCCTGCCCCGCCCGGTACAGCGGCGCCGCTTGTGCACCCGGTGTGCTTGCTGGCGAGGGCCGGCTCTCCTGCTCGTCGTCACCTTGTGCACTGAGATGTATTCGGGGCCCATCGCTCAGGTTTCTGACACGTCCGAAGTCAGGACGGGTCAGTCTGTGGGGAGTCCGCCCGCGGCCGTGCGTGGTGTGGCCTCTGCGAAGGCCGGCGACTGGGGGTGTCACTGCCCGGACTCCAGCACCTGCTCACGTTTCCTGAAGCACAGCTGAGATTTTACCCAAAAAGATAATCTAACCCTTCACATGTTTTGAGACAAGAAACACTGATACATTTTGAGATCAACATTATTAATTTTTCATAAAATACTTGGAGATAAAGAAAACAGTATTTTTCTCCCTGATGTAGAAGAGAATGGCGTCTGATCGCTAAGAGATTTTGCGTGACACTCAGTCTTTGTTTAATAAACGAATAGATTGTTTTTAAAAGTGGCTTTTTATAAATTATAACTGAGTTTTTCTCACTGAATCCTTTCCTAAAATAAGCTATGCACCAAGTAAGCAGGAACAAGTCCGTTCCAAGACGTAATAGAAGGGACACTTGGAGGCCGGGGCAACAGGAGCAGCACTGTTGGCCGACACGAACGTCCGCACGGAAGTATCTCTGTCGGCCCCCTCCCGCCCCGTGTTGCTCTCTCGCTTACGGAGCATTTCTGAAAATTAGAGCGGAACAGGGCAAAATAGTAGCTTCTTAGTTTGGAAGCTTCATGTCTTGTGTAAATAAATACTTGCTTTCTTTGGTAAAACAGAGTAATGTTTTAAAATAGTGCTTAGCCGATTTAGGAAGGAGAGTGGGCAGGCCTAGAAGTTCGTGCTCGGTGGTGGCCACGCGTGCATCAGGCTCTGCTGCTGGCGCTTGGGGGCCCCACGTGTCCCTTGGGAGGGGACCTCCTCAGCCCCCACCCTGTCTGGTCCTGGCCGTGTCCTTCAGCGCCAGTTTCTGTAACTCAGCAGGGAAATGCGGCACACCAGATGTGGCTTTGTGCGGGGTGGGCTTTCTTTCATCATCAGATCTTTTTTAAATTTATTTAAAAGATTTTAGTATTAATCTATTTTAAGGTTAATTATGTTTCTCTTGTTTGAGTTTCATTGAGCTTCTTAGACCTGTGAGTTCATTTTCATCAAATATGGAGAAGTTTTGGCCACCATTTCTCTAACATTGTTATTTGGCCCAGCCTCCCTCCCTCCCAGGACCCCAGTGACACGCAGCCAGACCGCTTGTGGAGGCCTCATGCATGCCCAGACGCAGGTCTCTTTTCCCTTCTTTGGTTCCTGGCTTCAGTTTAGTCGTCTCTACTGCCCTAATCTGCATCTAGACCTGTAAATACAGCGGATTCCTGATTCCAGAAGTTACGCATGTTTTTAGTTCTAAAATGTCACTTGGTTCTTTGCTATTAACTTTCTATGTCCTGTTACATTCATGTGTCGCCGAACTCCTGCCTTCACTGCGGGCGACCGGACGGCTCCCGCCGCCGCGGGTCACGCCGGTGCTCCGCTCCGTTGGAAGCGCGTTAGTGTCTGTGGGCCTGTGTCTTCAGCACTTGGCTGTGCTCGTTCTCAGGGGTGTGTGACCTCTGGTGCTTCTATAGATGGCCTTTACCGGGTTAAAGCAGCCCCTCCCGTTGCTAGTCTGCTGACATGTTTTCATCGTGAACGGGTGAAGCACAATGGAGTTAATGGTGAGTTTCCCTTGCAAACCTACTTTTGGATTTGGTTCGTATTTTCTATAGAATTTTAGGTGTGGGTACACCATTCCGTGTCTAAGTTTTCATTATTTCCGTTCTCTGGGTCTCCACTTGCTCACGTGTAGGGTGAGGACACAATACCAGAGTGCTGGGAGAAGGACGGGACAATTACCGTCGGGTCCGAGGACTGGGCTGTCACGGCGAGCACTGTGCGTTGTGGGCCTCAAGAGCGGTGACTACTTCCGTCTCCCTGGGGATTTTCCTTTCTGCGGCATCGTCCTCTGGGTCTGTGCCACTACACTGTCCCCAGGAGAAAGTTGGGCTGTGCATCCTTCCCTGCTCTCGGAGAACCTAGGACAGGTTGTGATTCTCTCTTCTCTGAATGGTTGGTGGAACTCGCTGAGGAAGTCCGTTGTGCCTGGAGTTTTCTTCGTGGGAAACCTTTGACGTCAGTTCGATGTGATTTATGGTTAAAGGTGTGGCAGAGCCTGATCCCCCAGAGCACCCATCTGCTCCCTCCGTTGGCCAGCAAACCCCCCCAGCTGGTTTGAGGCTGGTGACTCGTTCTGAGTGGGACAGAGGAGAGCTGCTGGGCCACTGGGGGGGCTGCCCTCCCCTTGACGGCCTTGCTGCTGGTGTCACAAACCAGCAGGCCTGTTTCTCTTCTTTTGGAAGAGATCCCTCCTTGACCTTGGCTAGACTCCATCTGAGTAAGAGATAAATCTCATGGTGTCAGCCGCTGAAGTTTTGGGGGTTTCTACTTAGTAGTTACCTACCTAAGTCACAGGACAGTGCATGCTTTCCATTTCTTCTTGAGTTTCCGTGAGGTCTCTATCGCCAAGATTTTGTTCATATTGCCTGATTTTCAAATGTTTTGGTATAGCAGTCTTTTCATGCATTTTAATGGCTTCAGCATTTGGGGTCCTATCCCTGGGGCAGAGGCACCGGGCGGTCATCCCTTAAGCAAGACCTCGCCGTTCAGGGAAAGGGACGCGGGTGAGAGATGGCTCTGCCTCAGCTCCCGAGCCGGGGCACACCGGGGCGGCCCTAGCCGGGGATGGCGCAGGTGGGACACGAGGGCCAGCTGCAGGGTTCCCGTGGCGCAGACCAGGCTCGGTGTGCGTCGTCCCGTCCCAGCAGCCTGTGTGCCTGCGGCTCGGTCACGTGCTCTCCTCACTTCCTTTCGTGTATTGCGGCTTCTGTCCCTTCGTATCTTCGAAGTTATGGACACATTCGGCTTTAAAACATCACCTGATCCCTTCTGTTCTGCGGGATCAGCTGCCGTCATGCACAGACGTGTGTCATTCTGTTTCTTCTGTGACCGCACCCTCTCTGCTGTCGCCTTGGCCGGTGATTTTCCTCACCGTGCTCGCCTCTCTGGGACTGGAAGCCGCGCGTTCTTTCTGGTGCCTTATCACGGCGTGAGGCGCCCGTCTGGTCAGGACCGCTGCCCTCCCTGGACACCCCCTCTGGTCTGCGTGGGAAGCTCGTCCAGTGTTGGAGTGAAATCTTTGTTCCCACGGCAAGCACTTCCTTACACTGTTCGTCTGGATTTACTGCTTATTCTCCAGACACTCCATCTGGGGTCGTGTTCCTTCTGCACCTAGGATTTCTGCTAATGTCTGCTGGTGGAAATCCCCGTGTTGTGGTCTTAGAATGCCTTTATCTTCATGTTTTTGAAAACTGCTTCACTGATCTGAGGACCTCATTCCTGGCCCCGGGGCTGCTGTGGTCGTGTGTGGTGCCTGTGCCCCGCCCACCCAGGGTCCGCGCCCCACCGGTGCGGGGTCAGACCACGCCCGCTCGGCCCTGGGGCCCCTCCCAGGGCCCTCTGTGTTAAGTGTCAGTACCCGGGTGTGACTGTCGGCAAAGAGTACGCTCGAGGGCAACAGAGATCCACATTTCAACACCTTTATTCATCACTTTACCGATTGGACACACAATGTTAACAGCAGCGAACACAGGAGGAGAAATATGCAGGCAGACAGGCGCTGTTTCACTAAAGGTTTGCAAGCCAGGCGTTGACAGCAGCTCTGACAGGTGACACCTGCCTCGCTCTGGGGAGGGAGAGGAGGGCCACCCTGATGCCATAGACATTCCTGGTGAGTGCGGCTCTTAGATGCCCGCGGACGTGCCTTTCTGAGTCAGGACACCCACGACAGGGACACTACTTACCATTGCGCTGATAAAGTGACACACTCAGAACTCCCTAATGGTAACAAAACAGTGTAAAAATATAGTGCATATATATATAAATTCATTTCCCTTTCCTGAAAAAAACTTCGTACAAACTAGTAGTATACGATCCCTTTCAAGTTTCCTTTAAGTTGTGCGGGTTTCCTTTGTTTTTGGCTTGATTTGGTTTTTCAAGGGTCTAAAGGGAGAGAGAAAGCATCTCAAAGGTCAGGGTGACCACTGCCCGGCCCTGCCTGGGGCCATGCACTTCACACGCCTGTGGACAAGGGCCACACCCTGAACCGCCCAGTTCCGCCAAGTGTTCAGTAGTAAATCAGAGGTGGGGGGCTAATCAGGGTCAGTGTTTTAAGAACATTCTATTCTATCGGTAACTTCACAGTACAGCTGAATTGTCACCCTGGCCTGCATGGGACAGGTGACGATGGGGGGTCCCGTGTGGTGCGGGCTGCAGGACAGGGGAGCTGGGCTGGGTCCCCAGGGCAGGGCCAGCACATGCTTTCCCCACAAAGGGCCAGATGGTGAAGATGTTGGGTTTCCTCCCCACCGCCTGGGGTGGCACAGAAGCAGCCACACACCGTGCCTGAGCACAGGGGACTCCACGGGCTGGGAAGGGGGCACCAGCCTCTGCCATTGCCACAGCCCCTGTTCCCCGAGCAGTCTGGGCGGCGCCCGTGGCCTGTGCTGAGCTCCGACCATGTGCCGTGCAGGAAGAGCAGCACAGACCGGGTGCCGGGGCAGCGCACCTTCTCCGCGTCCCTGTCCCCTGGCTTCTCACATCTGATACCATCTCATCTGCCTCAAGCTCAGGACTGAGGATGGTAGAGGTGTCAAAATACTCCAGTATAAGTATATACCTTTTGCTACGACATTCCAAACGTGCATGATTTGAAGTGCATTTTGGCCAAGCTAACTGTGTTACTGACCGCCGCCTGGTTGCCTGCCCCAGCACGTTCAATAGCGATGAGCTGGTACTCGGCGTGGTGAGCCTCCCGACACGGAGACGCCACCCAGGCCCCTGGACAGAACGTGCTGTGTGTCCTGCTCTGAGCTGTCCTTTCTTCACAGAGGGACGTGGGGTTTTTAGGGAGCCATGGTTAGTAGAAGCATAAAAACATGCAGTAAAGACACACACCCTGCCCGTGTCCTCGCTACTTAGACCCCGACGAGGGCGCGTGCATGTGCGCGTGTGTGCAGTGTGGCCCCAGCACAGGTTCTGTGCCCCAGGGCCACGCAGTGCAGGGACGGACAGCGTGGTGATTTCGAGCCGATGGAACGGTGACTCCTGAAGCCTCGGGATAGAGTCTTTCCCACGTCTCCCTCCTGCCTAGTGCGGGGTGGGGGGCCGTGCTGGGGGAGGGCACTGTCTGAGGAGCCTCGGGATTGGGACGGGCAGGGGGCTGGCGGGACCCCAGCACCTATGTGGCCAGCTGGGCCACGGTGCCGGGGGGTGGGGGGACGCTGTGTGCAGTTGGTTCTCCCTCAAGCCCAAAGGGAAGGTGCTGTTGGAACAGTCAGGAACGCACCTGGGAACGTCCGTCAGAAGGGAGCCACTGGTTTCCCATCAGGCTGCTGGGTGCCGCTAGGCCGCGGCACTGGTTTGTGGTATAAATGGGGTCTCCCGCTGGGGGGCGGGCACCGTGGCAGGGTCCCCGGGGACAGCTCTGTGGCTTCTTTTGTTTAGACCGCAGTCTCCCGGGGTGCTCTGCCTGGAGACCCGACTCCAGGACTGGAGACAGTCTCCTGGGGGCAAGGGGGGGCCGAGAGGGGCCAAGGGGACAGCCACTCCCTCTACAGGCAGCAGCACGGGGACCCCCCTCCCTTGGATCACCGCGGGGTTTGCACACCGTGGGGGCCAAGGTCTTGCTGGATTCCCGTGTCACCAACTGTGACAGTGGGGACGCGGCTGCTGAGGGGCAGGAGGAGGAGCCCCATGCCCCTGGTGCTCAGTGCTCCCAGCTCAGTGCCTCATGGGGCCCGGAGGGGAGGCCTGCTCCACAACCACGAAGGAAAACCCCTTCGGCTCTGAACACGGAGCTTTCCGGTTTGTGATACGCTTGCTGTGGAGAAACCCGTGTTGCGTTCACAGTTGCCTGCAGGTGCATTTCCCACGCTCTCCTCGCCTCTGGGTCCTCAAAAGGGTCCAGCCTGGGAGAGGACGGGGGGCGGGCCCAGGGTGGGGGTCCCATGTCCTGCCTTCTTCTCCCTCCCCCAGCACGCACACAGTCCTGCCTTCCCGCCGCGGCGTGGAGGCCTTGCCCGGCAGCTCAGGATCCCCGGGGCAGAAAGTGGACAGCGGTGCGATGGGTTTTACAAGTGACTCAGAGCCTGCTTTAACGCACCGGCAAGTCCCTGATCCCCAGGGGGAAGCTGCTGGCGAGGCCACTGCCAACTCCGGGCGGAGGCCCTGCCAGGGGTCTGAGGGAGGCCCACACGCGAACAGCCTGGTGAAGGGGCCGCGCTGGATGGGAGCGCGGGGACCGTCCCCGGCTCCAGCAGTGACCATCGTGCCTGTGGCGCCACGGTGCTGGTCTTTTCAGCTGGCTGCCCCGGGCATGTGACAGCGGTGGGGCAGGTGGGCTCCGGAAGCCTCTCCCTCCGTCTGCTGCGGCCTTTCCCAGGACCAGTGCCAGGACCGCACAGCCCCACCAGTCACTCGCGGGCTTGGCTGCACTTACGCAAAGGGACACGTCCCTGTGGGGCCACCGTGACAGGAGCCCCAGTCCTCTGCCCTCAATCAGCCTCACGGAGAAACCAAATTCCAGCGAACGCTGTGGGCCTCCGGGCCCTCCCCCGGCCCGGCTGTTGAGTGGTTTTCGGCCCTTGCAGGGGTTGGGAGAGGCTAGGGAGAACTCGCGGTGGACGCGGAGTCCCCGAAGCTGGTGCTGGGTGCTAGGGAAGAGGGAGCAGCCACGCGGACCCGCAGCCCCGGGGCATCACGTGCGGGACAGGCCCCGGCCCGAAGACCCCTGCCCCTGCCAGCAGAGCGCCTGCGCGGGAAGCCTCAGCCCGCAGCGGCTCCGACCCGGAGACGTGGACGGCAGGAGGGGGGCAGCTACAGGGCACTCCCGGTCCTCTCTGCTGTGCTGAGAATCAACACGTTTCTTGTTTCTTCTCCGAAAAGCACGAGCGAGTCGCCCTGCCGCAGTGTGCGTCGTGACACGCCCGGGCGCCGCTTCAAACCGCTCCTTCGGTCCACGGAGGAGCCTCCCGCCGGCTCCCCTCCCCCTCGCCCCCCAGCCCTGGTTACGCGACGTGGCGTGCGAGCACGTGGGCGTGCGTTCGCGGGCGCGTGTGCGAGCACGTGGGCGTGCGTTCGCGGGCGCGTGTGCGAGCACGTGGGCGTGCGTTCGCGGGCGCGTGCGCGCGAACAAGCACGTGTCCCGCCTCCCCACGCCCGCACGGTCCTGTTCGGGCTCACTTCGCTCTCCGTGCGGTTAGGGAGTTCGCTCTTGCCGCCCTTGAGGCTCCTGGGCGGGCTCTGCAGGCCCGGCCGTCGGCACCGCCTCGGACAGGGTCTGTCCCACTCACCCCGTGGCCCACCGGCACCCGGACAGTGTCCCTTTGGCCTGTAAGCCGGGTGGCCAGTGTGGTCTGTTCCCGGGAGACACTGGAAAAGGCCACGTGTTGGTGGCCAGCACTGGATGAGGCAAGCGAGTTACAAAAGACCAGTGAGTTCAGGGGCCCCACCTGGGGGTCAGACAGAAGCGCACCGGCCCCCAGGCAGGGGGAGGCCTGGGTGTCACCCCACAGCCACCCGGGCCCCAGACTCCTGAGTTCTGACCGGGGAGCACAGGAATGTAATGAAGTGTCAGGTGGTGAAGGCCTCGGCGGGAGGGGCCGCTCCTGGGCTGGCTACTTGCCCCCCTGCACCTTCTGGTCGTAGGTGCCCGCGTGCTTGTAGCCCGACACGTAGCCTGACTCGTCCACCAGGTCCACACGGCCCGCCTTGCCCTTGCCCCGGCCCGACGGGTCGAAGCGCTCCTTGTGGGAGCCCGTGAACTTGGTCGTGTCTGTGAGCCGAGATACGGTGGGTGACGAGATGGCTTTCTGCAAAGGGGGAGAGTGGGGCACGCCCAGTGAGCCCCGGGGGCGAGGCCGTGGGCCGCTGCATCGGCCCGCCCCCGGGGATGAATGCTTCCGCCCTCGGACCCCACACCCTGAGGGCTGTGCTCCCCCGGGAGTCCCTGCCAGCCATGCTCACCGTCACCCCGGAGATGACAGGGGACTTGCCCTCGATGAGCCTGTGCACCTCGCGGACAGCCTCCTCGCTGCTCTTGTCTTTGAATCTCTTCTTGGAGAGCTCTTCCAGCGCCTCCTTGAACTGCTCGAACGTGATGGTCCGGCAGGACTTCCCTCTGAGGGAGAGAGCACTCAGGGCCGGCCGGGACCGCTCCCCTCCACGGTGCACAGCCCTGCCCAGCAGCGCCCCGCGAACCTGCTGACTTCGGGGAACCCCGGCCCTGCCTGGGGACCCGGTGACGTCAGGGGGCCCCTCCCCCATCCAGGGCCCCACTGACATCGGGGAGCCCCCGCCTCTCTCCCACAGCGGAAATCGTGTGCAACATAAAAATACAGAATCTGCCCTCCCCCTCCCTGTTGTGCACTGTTTATGCCCGACAGTCAGTCGCCACGGGCAACAGCACCAAATATAAGTTGTCTTGGAAAAAAGCTTAAAGGAGCCACATCCTTTATGAACGACTGGACATCAAAACAGAGCTGTCGTCTGGTTCTCAAACGGGGCGTGTGTGGCGTCCACTCGACGCAGGAGGGACAGTCAGGGCACGACGTGCTTTGCACCTGAACCATAACAGGGGCCAAGTCCTGCCTGGGGCCATGACCACACAGGGACGGTGGGGGGGGGGGCGCCTCCCCAGGACACCCAGCGACGTGGGCCCAGGGCCTGGCTCTGACTCGCAGGACCCCCAAGGCCCCTGCCTGGAAGCCGCTCGGGGCCAGGCCAGGACCACCCACCTGAGGGACACAAAGGGGAGCTGGGGGCAGGTGCAGCCATGTTGGTCCCCCCGCGGTGGGCCATTCACAAGATCACACAAGGCTTCTGAACTACCTCCGCGTTTTGATAGTTTTAGCTAAAAACCATTTTTGCTACTCCAACTGGCTTTCCCGTGCTGACCCATTCAGAGAGGTCCCGTGCAGGCGGCTCCCCACGGACACCCTGTCCACCCTGTGCTCCCTAACACCCTGTCAGCAGGGTGCTGGATGGGACGGCCCCATAGCACCCGGCAGGTGGCTCTGCAGAAGCCCACAAGCAGAGGGCCCAGAACAGCCAAGAGCAGGCTGAGGGACTGAGAGCCGCAGCCCCAGGACACAGCCACACGGGGTTACCAAAGGGGAGCAAAGACCGTCCGGTGGGGGACGACAGCTGGCCACCCAGCTCTGAGCGGTGCCTCGCAGCCACTAGCCCCGGGTTCATCCTAGATCCTAAACTACGCTTCCCTGAGTACCTCAGAGAACAACTCTGACCTTGGGGGAGGCAGAGATTTCTGAGAAATACCACCAAAACAGTCCATAAAAGAAAAAAGGAATTGGAATTCGTCAAAATTTTTGAAAACCATGTCCTTCGTTCCAAGGCCAGCCACAGACCAGGGGGAAACATGTACACACACACCAGAAAAAGACACCCCTTCAGGCTCAGCAGCAGGAAAACCCAGTGCGAATTCCGAGCCACTTTGTGCGGGAAGATGCCAGCGGCGAGCCCCACTGTGAGCCGGCCGCCGGGGAGAGCTGCCGTGAGGCCCCCCGCACGCCCGCCGGCCGGCCACCAGGACCAAAGCAGCGACAGCGAGAGGCTGCGGGCCACCAGGCGCCCGGACACCGCTGCTGGGGTTCTGCAGTCCCGGCCCCCACGCCCCACACCTGGGCCCTATGTGGGAGAAGCCACCCGGAGACCCAGGCGAACTACATAGCTGGGGTCCGACGGCAGGCATGGGGGCTCGCGGGCCCATGACACGGGATGTGCTGACTGGTGACCCACAGTCTGGAAGGGCACAGCCCCGGCTGTGACCTCACAGTAGGGTCTGGGGACCTGGTGGACGCGGGGCTTCCTCAAGTCCAGCAGCAGGCGGTGGGTTCTGCTCCCGGAGCAGTCAGCCTCTGAGCAAACCGGCCCAGGCCACACGGTCCCCAGAGCTGCTGCCCCGCACAGAGAACCCCGCGTGCCCTGGCTGAGGCCCTGTTTGTTTGTCCTGGGCCATCCAAGGCACTCCCGTCTCCCATTCATGCCCTGCCCGGGTCGCATGTGGGGGCCTGGCCGCCGGAGCACGCAGCCCTCTCTGGGCCCTGCGGCACCAGGCGCCACCAGTGTGAGTCACTGGGGCCGGGGGCGGGGGCATGGCTCGCGGAGGTTCCCGTCAGAGGCCACATTCAGAGCTGGTGGACTTGCAGGCCTACGGCTGTCTTGTCGCTCCACCTGGCTGGGCTGGGTGTCCCCAAGTGTCCCCACCGTGGCTGCCCCGCAGGGAGTTCTCCCCAGGGGCCCCAGTGCCCTGCTGCAGAGAGCTGTCCCCAGCAAGTTCTAGAATGACAATGCCTGTCTCTTCCCCAGAGACACTGATCACATCACATGCTCTCTGGACACAGAGTGATCCTGTTCTCCGGAGCTCACAGAACTAGAGGGTGTCCCCACAATGAACCCCCCTCCTCCCGGCTCCAGCCCGGCCGGCCAGCACCCTGCTGGAAAGCCAGCCTAGGAGTAATGGGGTCACTGTCATAACAAGGCCCTGTGAGCTGGGGTTTCACTTGGCTTCCCCAGCCCTGTGTCCCCCAGGCCTCCAGACCTAACTCCGGGTGGGCAGGGGGCTGGACCCTGCCAGTACCAGAGGTTACCCAGGAACACCAAGGGCATCAGGGAGCCAGGCAGGGGACCAGTGCAGTCCTCCAAAGATAGATGCATGTGCAGGCCACCCGGGCCAACACCAGGAAGGCTCCCGAGCTTTGGGCCACCACCTCCTCACCAGCACCTCTGCAAACTGGGATCGAGGGCCCTCCCGGGGGCACCTCTCTGATCGGCGGCTGGGTCATCACAGGCACCGGGCCGCTCAGGGTTGGGAGAAAGCTGCTGGCTCTCCTTGCCCCCCCGAGCAGCAAAGCCAGGGCCCTGGCTGACCCGTCTGGACAGCTACCTGGTGGGCCTGGATGCCAGTGTGAGTCCACTCTAGGCCCTGATGAAGTCCGTGGGAAGAAGGGGCCTCTGAGATGCTCCCAGCAGGGGTGGGGGGAGCCAGGGGAGCTTCGTTGTGCAGGTGGCCTGGGGCAGCTCCCAGGCCGGGTGCTCCAGGGGGACCACCGATGGCGGTCAGAGCCTCCTGGCACACAGTGGTTCCCTCGCTCTGGCCCAGGGCTCCCCCTGCCGCTGACGACCATGATGCTGGGGGTCTGTAGGGGCATGTGCAGGCCCTGAACCTGCCTAAAGGGGCAGCTGTGGCCCCAACTCTGCGTTCCCTCTCCCCAGGTAGGGCAAAACCACCGTAGCGTCCCCCTAACTTTGTGCTTGCTTCTCGCAGGTGCCTGGGGCTGGCTTGCCCTGGGAGGGCAGCTCCCCCCACCCATCCACTCCTAACTGCCATCCTGGCTGTGGCGGGGGCAGGAGGGGGATGGGGGGCTGAGGGGACAGCTGCACCGAGGTCACTGAAGCCATTTCTGGGTGTTTGGGGAAGGTCATCCTCTTAGAAGGCCGTCATGCCCTGGGACCCAGCACCCTCATCAACCTGGAGAGGGAGCTGTGGGGCCAGGAACTCCCTGGTTCCTGTTCTCTGTGGCCTTGACCCTCGACCACAGATGCGCCAGGCCACCCACTGCAGGGGCTCGTACTGCCCCTGGGGCCATGAGAGGGCCCCACGGAGGAGGACTGGACCACACGGCTGCTCTGACCTCCCTGCTGACCCTGAATGCCCCCTAGCCTGTCGGGAGGAGCCCAGGGCAGGAAAGGCCCAATGTGGGGGAGGCCCTGGGCAGACGCGGCGTGGGTGAGGGTTAGCTCTGTCCCTGGCCATCGTCTCAGACATCATGGCACAACAGCTCTGCCAGCTCTCGCCTGCCCCTCCTGTGGGCACCCCCACCCACCATCGTGCTGTCCTGGGGGGACCTCTCCTGCAGGTGCTGGATGGCGGGGGGACAGCATCTGTGCTCTAGGCCAAAGGCTCAGGTCTGCTGTCCCAGCTCCCTGCCTGAGACGGTTCCCGCCGTGTCCTGGCAAGGGCATGGGATGTGTGGCAAGAAGGGAGCAGGTCGGTGGCAGACAGGCCCCAGGGAGCCCACCCCAGCCTCCTTCTCCCTAACCGGTTCAGGCGCCGGCGCCGTGTCCCTCCATGAACCCACAGCACCCAGCAAACAGGCGTGTGTGTGGCCAGGAGAGGCTGCAGCCGGACGCCCACCACGCCCTGTCCCCTTGGGCCAGGCCTCTCCACCTGTGCCTGGCCGCGAGCACGCAGGCGGGATGGAAGCGGGGACATCGTGGTGGGGACCCGTCTGTCGGGGACGTTCCCGCTGTGCACGCCGAGGCTGGGCTAATTAGTATCTCAGACGGACCGGCTGTGGCTCTGGCCGGGCGGGCGCAGAAGCCTTTGTCTCGGTAACAATAGTGACAATAGTGTTCCGTCAGGACCGCGCGGAGCTGCGAGAAACTCGTTTGAAATCCAACACATGGTAACATCAAAACAAACAAGGGCCGCCATGGCGACCGGCCCCAAACAGAGCCCGCAGGGCCCGGCCGGCGCCGCCCGCGCCGCCATGGCGACCGCCCGCAAACAGAGAGAGGGCGCCCCTCCACCGGCCTGGCCGACCCGCATCTGTGGCTCCCATGAGGCAAAGGCCCTTCTGCCGTGGCTGCCACTTGGAAAGACCGTGGCCCGAGACCCCACAGCCCAGGACACGCCCGTCCCCGCCCCACACCGCCGTCCTCACAAGGCCAGACAAAACCAGTTTTAACAGGCTCCTCGAGGCCTCCCGGTGTCCTCCGGCCCATCCCTCGGGACCCCGCGATTTCCCCCTCAGGGACGAGGGCACTGGCCCCCCCGCCGCGTGCTCCAAGCTGACCAGCAAGCCCATCCGGGCAAGGGCCCGGGCCTGCCCCCTGGGAGGGGCCCCCGTGGTCGCCGCAACTCAGGGTGGCCGGGTCCTGACCTTGTGGGCTCAGGCCACCACGGCCCGCTCACCAGACCGCTTCCCCTGCCGGGAGCTGAGGCAGAGACACCGGGGTCCCAGGCAGCCCCGTGCTCTGCATTAGGGAGCCCGCTGTGCCCGGGAGCCGGGGCCAAGCCTCACCCAGGACGGGAAGAGCAACCAGAAGGGCTCCCTTCCTGGTGCTCACACGAGTGATGCCAGTGCCCCACGGGGGCTACCAAGACCCCATCCCCCTGCCTCGGTGCTGGGCTGCCCGTGCCTGCTGCACACAGGGTCTTGGGGCCTGTCCGGAGCACCTGTCCTTGGAATGAGCCACCTCCCACCACCTGTGGGGAGCCTGACTTTCACCTGGGAGTGCGTGTGCAGGCCATCTGTGCACACATGCGTGAGCTCTGGCTGCACGTCCGCACACGTGTGCAAATGCCTGCACGCAGCGGCCTGGAGGAAGGAGGGAAAGGTGATGGGAGGAAGAGTCGCCATCACCTGTCGCCAGTGGGTCAACATGCAGGCCGGCACCAAGGCTGTGGGAGCCTGGGGTGCTTCCCGGAAAGGTGAGCCACATGGACGTGCCACTGCCTGCCTCCTTCCCAGCCCTTCTGGAACCTTCCCCAAAGGACATGGCTCTGAGGTTCCTCTGCTCCCGGGTCAGCCCATGTCTCTGGGATGCACAGGGTTTCCCAAGGCCAATGCTCAAGGCCTGGAGGACGTGCCCAGGAACGGGAGTGGGGAGACCCTGCGGGGCCTCACAGGAGCTCCTGCGGCACCCCCTGCCTGCGGCGTCAGCCCATCTGCTCTGCCCGAGGACGCCTGCAGGGGATCTGGCCACTCTCCCTTCCTCACCGGGCTGGTGTGCGGGGCACATCTGCTCTGCCGAGTGAGCTCTGGGCCACCGACGCTCCCGACGCAGCCACAGGCTCTGGGCTGGCCCTTGGGGTCGGCCGGTGGCGGCACCACATGCCCGAGGCTGGCTGGGCTGCCTGGACCGTCCCCAGGGAACCACACGGCCGAGCTGGTTCCCATTCCTTAGCGAGGACAGGGCACCAGACGCCCTGGGGCACCTCTGGAGCTGCTCGGCTGAAGACTCCGGCCAGAGCCCGGACCCTGCTGCCCAGAGCACCTCCACAGTCTCCCAGCAGACCCCTCGGTCACAAGCCTGGGGCCGCAGGGGCAGCAAATGTGGAAATCCTCGGCTGGGGCCACCGAGAGCTGGTCCCTGCAGGCTGCCAGACCGGTGCCTGGGGTGGGGGTGAGGAGAGGCAGGCTCCATGTGGCTCCCTGGTCCCCAAAGGCCCCGAGGCCCCCTACTCGGAGACGCAGGAAAGGACAGGATGCAGCCCCCACCAGGCCCCCGCCCCTCCTGGGAATGTCCTTGACCATGAGGCCACACCCCACAGAGACTCCTAGGGTTTGGCCCCTCTGCTCCCATGTCCAGGGGCCCCTGCTCTATGGGGCTGACCCCAGGGGTCCAGGCCAACTCGGCTGAGCAGCACACCACTCTTCATCTCCTGAGGCAGCCTGTCACTGAGCAGAGACTAGCAGAGGTTAGGGACCCACATTCCCGGTGTGTGGAGTGCAGGCAGGCTGGGCCTCTGTAAGAAGCGGACAGCATAAGTCGGGGGGAGCGGGTCTGCGAGCAGGGCTGAGACGGGCTGCTGAACCCCACATGGAGCCCAGGATGCACAGAGTCGGTGGGACCTGAGTGTCTAGTCGGGGACACACGTGGGGTCTGATCTGTCCACACTCACTCCTCCACGGGCTGTGTCCTCAGCCTCCGCAGGTGAGTGTGCGGGGAGGGGGCGGACACTGACTGGACTCTTGGGCCCAGACGGCACCACGTGAATGCCTAGTCACGGGAGTGCTCTGTCCTGTGCAGAGCTGTCCAGATTTGGGGACCACGTCCCGTCTGCACGAAGTCTGCACACACCAGGGAGCTGAGGAGGGACCTGGAGAGCCCACCTGCCCTCTGCATGGGCCCTGCCCCTGGACCGAGCAAACGTCAGCAGATGGAGGGGTTGGACAGCCGGGCCTGCACTGTTGGCCTAACACCTTCCCCTGGGCTCCTGGGACCTCAGCCTGGTCCCGGTGATGAAGCCTCTACCTTGGGCCCCACAGCAACCACAGAGCGGCTCTTGCCCCCCCCAGGTCACTCCCCTTCTCACCTCTGCCCACCTGCACCCGCCTCACCTCCTCCCCAACCTGTGCCCCACCTTTCCCTTCCTCTCTGGCCATGGGCCTTGGGAGTGGAGGGTTCACTAGAATCCGGGACCCCACAGCTATGGTGTCCTTAGGGACTCTGCTTGGACTGGACATCTGACTGGTTCCACCTCTTCCCCAGGACCAGAAAAGTCAAGTCCCCTCTGCCTGGTGAGTGCTCTGCACCACTGGGTCCTAACAGGTGACTTTCTGGGGCTGCCCGCAGGGCTACTGCACCTGTGTCTCTCCACAGTGCCTGATGGCGACGGCGGCACCCCTGGGCCTTGGGTCAGCCCAGGAAGTCAGGGACACCGCCCTGGGATGGAGGCACACTGGTGTCTGGTGACAGAGTCACGGCCACTGGGGACGCGGAGGAAGGAGGCCATCCACGGCTGAATGCACGAGGGGCCCAGCCATCAGTGGGCGGTGGGGGGCGCGGGGGCGTCCTGCGGAAGGTGCCCAGCTGACGGCGATACCCTGACTGAGATGGCCATGCCCAGAAACGGGCTGAACGCCGTTTTCCAGCGACGGGCGACAGACAGCAGCAGAGGTTAGGTAGCCCCCAGGGCGCTGTTCCTCCTCTCAGGGTGGTCGTGACGTTTGCAGGACACAAGGCGCCCAGCGGCGATGCCGGGACGAGGGACGAGGGACGAGGGACGAGGGACGGTCCGCACACGCCTGAAGCACGTGGGCGCGCCGACGCCAACCACTCTGTCTGCGGCGCCCGAGCCCCGGGCGCAAGGTGCCCGCACAGCCCGCCGCGCACTCACCCCCAGAACAGCCCACACCGGCCAGCACAGCGGCCCCCGGGCAGTGCCCCGACCCGGCATCCCGACCTCTTACCCCGAGAAGGGGGCTCGAGCACCTCCTCATGCCGGGTGCGAGGGGGTCCCGAGCGCAGGCCCGGGCGGCACTTACTTGATTTTGCTGAAGACGATGTCCACGTCTGTGATGGTCACGCTCTTCCCGTCGATGACCTGGCAGTCCTTGCACAGCTTCGACCAGTTCTTGCCGTGCATCTCCTTCCCGGTGGCCCTGGTGTCCCCATGCACGGCAAAGCGCCGGAAGGCCTCCTCCAGGGCGCTGAGCTCCGGCGCCGCGGCAGCCGCCCCCTCACCGGCCCCCTCCGACTCCAGCAACAGCCTCTTGGCTGCCCTGTCCTTTGCGGGGTCCCCTGGGGACTTGGGGGGTGTCTTGTTGGCGGCCTTGGCAGACTTGGCCTTGCTGTCGGCCATGGTGCTGGAGGAGGAGGGAGAGGAGGAAGGAGTCACCACGCTTCTGCCAGGCCACATGTGTCAGGAGGGGCACCCGGGATGTGGCGGCGGCCCTCAGAAGGGGGCAGAGATGCCGCCAGGGGGCTGTCCCCAAACAGCGCAAGCCCTCCATGACAGCCCAGCCAGCCATGGGGCTCAGGTCCCTCCTGTCGCTCCCCTGCCAGCCACCATGTCACTGAGCCCTCCGTGCAATGACACCTTTCCTGGGGTATTCACCACGTGATGGGGAAGGGGAGCCAGAACCCGTCACCACCACCTCAGTGGGGCCCCTGGGTGGGGACCGCACGTGCAAGGGAGGCCACCCAAGAGGCCCCTGCCAGGACCTCAGCGGAGCCTGCTCCAACTTGCCCACGAGTCTCTGCTTTTGTGGGGCCTCTGATCCCCAAAGCCGGGCAGATCCCTGGGGAACACACAGTCTATGCTGCCCCTCCCACGTGTCCCAGCCAGTGGCTCCTGTCCCAGCAGCCCCCGATTCCCAAGCCTCACAAAAGTGTGCCCCTGAGTCTCCAGAAGCCACTTCCCAGAGGAGCTGTGGGTGGCCGTCCCTGCCTCGGGGGGCTCAGCAAAGGGGGACAAGCCCTCGGGTTCAGGCAGACTCCAGGACAGACAGCAGCGCTGGGGACAGCAAGCACACGCACAAGTCCGCAGTTCACGGGGGCCGCCCCACCCCGTCCCTCGCCGCTCCAAACCTGAGCCCTCAGCACCAGCTTGCCCAGCAGAAGCCGGGACCAGCACCAGGGGCTGGGGTGGCCAGGCAGACAGCGTTGGCACAAACCGCCACCCTCAGCAAAGCCCGCACAGCTCAGCCGCTGCACTGAACATTTTCTAGGACCCCCTGTGGCCCCGCCGTGCCCCTGCTCCAGGAGCAAAGCTTGAACCACTGGTGAGAAAAGCAGGACCGGTGCAGACGGGGCACCACCAGCAGGAGAGTCGTGCCCGCACACATGCCTGTCCGTGTGGGGGCAGGGAGCACCAGCCCTCCCAGGGACCCAGGACAAAGGCGGTGACACCCAGTCGTCTCCAGTGTTATCGCTGACACCATTTCTTTGTCGGAAACAGGAGCTTCTTGGGGCTGAGGTGGGAGGGCTCACATCCTATGTGTTCTTTTCTATCCTTTGATAAATCCATGCTATTTCGAAAATGAGATAATAATGATAAAATTCGTTTTAAAAAAACCTGGGGGCTTCCGCAGAGGCCTGCTGGAATACGGAGCTGTCCAGAGAGGCCCTGCTGATCCCAGGATGGCAGCCGGTCCCCCCAGGAAGGTCTTCCCTGCAGGCACGACCTCCCCATCAGCCCAGAGCCCAGGAGACGCAAATCAGCCCACAGCAGGAGTAGAGGCCCATCCGCTGTGACCAGGGGTGGCCAGGGACCATTCTGGCTGGCCAAAGACTGGGCAGTCCGAATGTCCTGCCCTTCCCCTCAATGTGAGTGTCTGCAGTGGCTCCGGAACACCCCGGGAGCTCCTGTGCCCACGACACCCCCCTCCCTGTGGATTTCTGGAGTCTCTCTCTTTGGTCTCACCTGCTTTCCTGGGATGGGTATGAATTTGGGGGGATGGAGGAGGAGGGAGTGAGCACAGAGCTGGGGTCCACAGTGCATAGAGGCTCCCAGACGCCAAGGGACGCACCCGGAAAGCGCCCCAAGCATCATCGGCATCAGGCCCACAACAGGCCAGCTGAGCTCCCTCGGGCCCCCTCTGCTGCTGGGCTCAGGGGTCCCAGGCAGCAGGGCAGGGGTAGCGGTAGGGGGTGAAGGGGGCCCTGCAGAAGAGCAGGAGGGGGAGGAAACCAGGGCGGTGCACTGTGGGTCCAGTACGAGCCGTCCCCCCTTGGCCAGAGGGCTCGGGAGCAGGGAGCTGAGAGAGCATGCGCGAGGTGTGGGGACGGACTGTGTTACTGGATTTGCATTTTCGGAGAGGCCCTGCCAAGGTGGAATTACAGAGCTGGCTGGGAGGAGAGCCCAAAGGGCCACCCCTGCCCACGGCCCCACACAGACTTCAACACACCTGACCCCAGTGTCCACCAGACTTCAGGATTATACTCCCGCCAGGAAAGGCTGTCTCTCAGCCACTGTGTGTCCTCCCCAGCCCAAAACCCCTCCAGAGCCATCTAGGCTCCAAAGAAGCCATGGGCCCCATGTCAAGGGCCCTACTTCCAAAATGAACTGGGTTCCATTTCAGAATGACTCTCCCTGGCAAGCTCCTTAAGACTCAACCACCACGTGACGCTAAACTTACAGAAAAGGTTATATAGGACAGACCCCGAAAAGCCACTATCAGCCACCACATGGACATCAGCACACAGAGCCCCAACTAGGAGCATTGGAAATCCCTGTTAGTGATATGCCTGCAACAGTGCCAGGTGTGCGTGTGAGCAGAGCCAGGTGTGCCTGTGAGCGGGACCAGGTGTGCGTGTGAGCGAGATCAGGTGTGCGTGTGAGCGGGGCCAGGTGTGCCTGTGAGCGGGGTCAGGTGTACCTGTGAGCAAGATCAGGTGTGCGTGTGAGCGGGGCCAGGTGTGCCTGTGAGCAGGGTCAGGTGTGCGTGTGAGCGGGACCAGGTGTGCCTGTGAGCGGGACCAGGTGTGCCTGTGAGTGGCGACAC